TATTATATAAACCATTATTAAATATAGCTACTTTAAATCACTTGAACTCAGCTTACTATTTGTTTCATCATTGTACATGCACACTTTAAGATCTCATTAATATTTTCAAAATGGATTGCTTTCACCAAAAATGAAATTATATATGATATTATAGATGGTTACAAAAAAGTTAAAGTAATTGATGGATTTTGTTCACTTTAATTTGAAACTTCTTTATAAAATATTTTAATGCATACATACAGTATTAAGAATTTGATTTTAAAACTCAGAATAACATAAGATGGTACTCAGTTGCTCATATCTAGAATATGACATCATACACATGACAGAATTGTGACATCAATGTCATCCTCTCAAATCGGAATGTTCATAATTTTACACAAACGCATTCAATTATTTACATCTGTAATTGATTAATTTTAACAGTATTGTAATTTCAATCCACCCTCTAACGTTTAACTTTTTCAATTACAAATTTTTTACTCAACTTTCTATTTTATTTAAATCAATACAATTGAATTACAGGCACTAATCCTTCAAGCTGAAAACACCTATCCCATTTCCTATGGCTGTGAATAAGGTTCCAGATTTTATTTACTCAATTTGATGTTTATATTATTACAAGTAATAGTGTTATGATGAAACATAAGAATAAAAGGTCTCATATTTCATATTTAAAGTATTAATCACACTGTAGAAATGTGAAATTGAAACTACCCTAATGTATTCTATGAGTAAGATCACGGTCACAAAATAACAGTTTCTATACAATTCAATCATACTGATATAATATTCAACAGTCTTATCATTGTAATGTCTAGTTACCTTAATGTCACTTCCATTTAAACACATTCTATTTATGCGACTGCCATTGGGTCGGCTAGAATCAATCCAATAGATGAATTCTTCTCTGTAATCAAAGTCTATAGCAATAACATTGTTTAATCCCTAAAAATAAAAAAGACTATGTTGTCAATCATAGTTCATAGAAATAATTATAAAATGTTTTAAGAGTTTACAGGAATCATTGTCTCCCTTTGAACCTAAATAGTTCTAGTTATTATAATAAATAGTGTTTGCTACCAATTCTCATTAAAAGTATCATATATTCACATTTTCCTTACATCATACATTTATATACTATGATATTAATTTGAAAATATTTTCCACACGGGCCACAAAATTTCAAAATATTTATAGTGGTTTAAATAAATAGCCAGTAATGTGAAAATAAAAATAACTTCTTTTAAGGAGATAAAGTTTAAAATTTCTACTTTAGGTTTATATGAAATATAAACTTTATGTCATAATAATCTGTTCCATGGAGGAGCCTGAAAAAAGTACACATCTAAATTGAAAAGCTAGATCATCTGATTAAGATGAGCCCTGGACAGCCATCTGATGAGTCAGAAAAGAAGGTATAGAAATTTTACTTTCCCCCAAAGCTCTTGTCCCAACAACTGTATAAAAGAGCTGCCTTTCTTCATGCTTCAGATGGCCCCTTGGCAATACAGTGTGATATTAGAATTTAAAAGTTACAACCTCGGGTGAGTATTTGACCAAGGAGGAACTAGGTAATCAACATGTTTTTATTCCACATGGTGGAAATGTGAGGAAATGCCTCCCTTCAGACTCATGGTTATGCATTTTTTAGCAGGTAGCAAAACAGAACACAAATTCAATTGATGGGTTTCTGGATGCTACAGCTTTTTGGTTTGACAGTTCTCACATTTGATTCTATTTGAGGACTGTACATCCAGGATCTAGGAATCTTTTAGTTGCAGAATTATTCAAACAGTTGCCTAGGAATTGGTTTAATTCTGACTTACTGGTCAAGATTATATCTTTACTCCCTTAAGGACTGAGTAATTTATTAATATATAAATTCTATTGATTAGAAAATAATATTATAGATATTTAGCAAAGCCTCAAGGGATCTCTGCCATGTTTTTATATCTATGGAGAGCTAGCTTACATCAATATTCACCATAAAGTTGATGCTATGTCTCAGATTGTTTTAGAGGGAAATGTATGAGTAGTTGTAGTCCTATGAGTAGAGACAAGCATCTTCAGAGAGGCAGACTTTTTTTTATTTGTTTTAGTTTGGTTGTGGGGAGGAGGGAGAAGGAGGAAAGTAATTCTCAGGTCTGAGTTGAGTTTCAACATCTACTCTGAAAATTCAGAATCTGATGATAATAATAAAACTGACTTAGATTTAAATAGTTCTTTAGAAGAGTCAAGCCAAGGCTAATAATTACTCTTCAGACATACTTTTCCAAGGGCATTCAAGACTAAAGGTGTCCTATGTATATCAGCAAATAAAAGGAGATTCTGGCAAATACTGCTTATCTTCCCTTCTCACAGCGAGGCTAAATTTTAATAATAATAGTGTTAAAACGAGCAATCTCATTTTCTTGAAGTCCAGATTATAAAGACAACCTGTAGTAACCTAACCCCACAAAATCTCATGCCATATGTCATAAACAAGAGACACAAGGCAATAATATAGCTCAGTGCAAATTCCTTGCTAAGCCAAGATGAATAAATGCAAGTATCTTTCCTACTGACAACACTATAAATCATGAATAACGACTATAAGTGCTAAAAACGGATAACTGATATTCAGTCACAGATTCAAAAGATTCATTAAATATCCATTCACATCCTAAAAACTGGAGAACTCCTTAACTAAATGCACATAACCATAGATATGTAGGAAGTTGCCTACGCAAAATAAGTCAAAGTTCTAAAATACAAATTGAATGTGTTCCAGGAAAGTTTGTAGAGGGCTTAATAAATCCATTCCAATAGTAGTTTACAATATCACTTCTGTTCAACTGCTTTTCTCTCCAGAGCAATAATGTAAATAAGTTAGGATTCTGTGATGCCTTGTTAATTCAGGTGGCTAAATTAGAGAGTTTTACAGGGAAAAAGTAGAGAGAAACACATCTCTAACTTGAGCAGAGATTTACCCACAATCCTCAGTCATGGAAGAATTATCCTATTCCTTCTTTACAATAATCAATTTAGATAATAAAAATCCAATTCCAAATTTAGCAAGTCAACTATAATAAATTAAAGCTGCAAATGCAGAAAATTGAAGCTCTAAATTCCAACATATCTATCTAGCCAAGCTGGTCATTTTTCTACAGCTTTACTCTTAATCCCCACAGAAAACAGTGCAGTGGTCTCTTTGCAGGATCATATGCAAGAAATATTAAAACAGCCAGGTGCATGGTCAAAATAATGTCTAAAAACTAGTCATCCCAGTAGTTTCAGAGCTGAAAATTGGTTTCATCAGAATCCTATTTGCTTCTTTCATTTCTGTAGCTAAAGACTTGCACTCTTTGGTTTGAGATGATTAATTTAGGAAATTGTGTTTTGTTTCTCTATACGATGTTACTGGAATAAAGACACTGTTCAAATTGAATTGGATAACATATTGGAAAGGTACTTGATTAATTTTCATTCCCAAAATGTATGTCATTAAAGTACAGTTTCTAAATATAGTACATGAATTTAAGTTATAGCTGACCTTAGTACAATTATGTTGTAGAATATAGACGGCAAGAAAAAGTCCCACCACTTGTTATAATTTTATGCTATAAAACTTTATGAGATTGTTACTGACTACAACTAAGATAATATAATTTGTGATATTACGATAAATCATTCTTCCTAATCAGCTGCACATAAAAGTTCCAAATAGTTAAGACAATGATACTGTCTTTTCATTTATTTTTGTTGTGAGAAAATGTGCAGAAATAATTATTTCTCTGTTCTATTTCATTCTGCATATGTGGACAGGCTCTCTGGACAAAGATAATGGTTCCTATTGCCTAGAACTCCTTTAAAATTTCTATAACACTATGATAAAACTGAGTAAAACTATGTTCTCTGAAAGAAATGACATATTCCCAGCAGCCCATAGGCAAAACTGGGCAGAAGGCTTGCCATGGGTTCTTTGGGTCTCTATTTCCTTACTCAGTGGACACCATTAACAATTGCTTTCCAAAGACACAGGTGTGTTCAGATCCTTCATGAACGTCTTCACCATCCTCACTGCTTCTTCATTCCCATATGTACTGCACTAAGAAAGTATCTGAAACTCATCCCCACTTAGGTACTAATGACTGGCAACAGTCAAAAATGATACCACCAGGAGAAAAGAGCTATGTTAAAGGTGCATTAAAGTGGTTCTGTTACGTGAAATAGACTTAAATGATGCATAGAGGAAAAAATCATTTTGTTCCATTAAGAACAATTTCTGACAACACATTATCCATGAAAGACAACAAAAGGAATACTGGTGGAGATATCCTGAGCTACAAGGTTGGAAAATGAAGCAAGAAGCTAGGACCGAATCTCTATTATAACTCTGTCATGAAGATAATGAATATTGTTCTATATTAGTTAAACTTGTGGTTCAGCTGAGCTTAAAAATATTCTAAAGAGAGAACTTTATTCCTTCAAACTGAGATAGTAGAGTCTAAATGGTCAGAATGTTACATATATATATATATATATATATATATATGTTTATATATATATATATATATAAACCACCTAGTGAAAAAAACAAACATGTCCTTGTTCCAGAGACCATACCAGAAAATACGTGGCTGATGCATCTAACTTTGAATTTACAGAAAGGTTTATAGGGCCTGTGTAATCATATCCCAAGAAAGATAATTTTTAATATTTTATAACTTTGATATAAGGTTAAAAGTACAAGAAAAAGTTTAAAAATATAGAAAAAGTATATTAAGTTAAGTTAGTTAAAGTAGGAAACTATTTGGGCAACAAAAAACTTTCCATCTTGAAGCAGTTATGTATACATTTTCTCCTGAAGTATTTTTTAGGTAAGTAAATCTTTATGTTGCTGAAAACACACTGCAGGAATGGTGGTCTTCCTTTATACTTAAAACTGACATAAACAAACTAGAAAAATGAGAAAAAACCTTAATTTTGGCACACTTGTTCTAGACAGTGCTTTCACATATTTCTGCCACTATTATACAGTTTGAGGCAAAGATAAATTTGGAGTAGAGCAGATACAAACCAAATATTTTCAAAGAAAATATTTCTCCTGACAACTAAAAATATGCTTCCCAAATTCTATTTGCTAGGTAGTTCTACAGCTCTAACATATACCTAGTACACATGTTAAATGTTACGGAGTCATCTTGGGAGTCATACCTGTTTTAAAAGTGTGTAGTTGGAGCCATCAGTGCTAATTTTCCTTATCTCATGATGATCAGCAAGAATTAAAAAAGGTTCTTCATCTAAACACCAACACAAATAACATATTAGACTTTTAAGTATCTATGTATTTCCCCTCTGCATAATTTCAGTTTAGTTTAGCAGCAATGTGATGTCAAATATAGTGCTGGTCTAGTAGATTCAGGGTTTAAAGAATCATACTGAGCAACCTAGTTGACAGTAGAATGAAGAGGCAGCACACGCCCAGGCAGTACAGAAAATCTAGAAAATTCTAAGTGCATACCTTACTCACCCTCAGTATTCTTGACATTCATATAATTTATTTGGAATGAGAAAATATCTACTGTTACAATCTGATCATCTGCATAAATTGCAGAAAAAGATAATATTCACCTGTTTTAGAAACCTACGTACAGCTAAAACATTCTTATGATCAGAAATTTTTTTCTTGATAATCAAGTGGCTAATGCTCTCAGGATGACCTCAGTGAAGACCAAGAGTATCACTGCATGTATATATTCTTTTACCTGCCTGAGGACTTCTCATAAATAACTTCTGAACTCCAGGTTCTAAAATCTTTATTAATTTTACCTTTCTTCATGAGTCTTATTTTTTTTTTAACGCTTTAATAGTCTTTATTTCTTCCTTATCATCTTGTCCAATGTCTTTTCGTATCCCATTTACTTTAGAATCTGGGAAAGAGCATGATAAAGATCTGACCATGCTCAATATATGGGAGATCCTCTAAACCACTAGCATTTGGTTTTCTCTTCAGATTTTATTTGGACACAAAATGATTTCTTGAAGAAGATAATTTCAGAAAGATTTTCTTTTATATTTATTTAAATATATATCTGAATAATTTAAAGTCAGTTTGACCACATTCTCAGTGGTTATAATCCTAGATTCATTTGATGAATAATTTGCTCAAGCATTTTAACATCTGTTTTTGAGACACATTCATAAACTTATTTGCCAAATGAAAAAGTTTAATGTTGATAGAACTTAGAAAAAAAAAAAAACACTTAAAAAAGTAATCATGTCATATAATTGAAAGTGGCTTTATTATAAATTATTTATTGTTATAGAGTTACTGTCCTTTTTAAATTGTTTGAAGTCATTATTCTTCTGTCTTTAGTTTTGTAATTAATATGTAATACCAAAGATATGACATTATGTTTCAGCATATACTATGTCACTCATGTTAAATACCCCCTTCTATCATCATTGATGGGATCTCAAATTAGTCATTCCCATCTTCTTTTTGAGGCCAGGCTGAGACTCAGATTACTTTTCAAAACAGAATTGGCTCTTGAGTTGAAGATGCCTTGCCACTTTGTCAATAGATTTCTCAATTATAAATATAAAATTAATCAGTCATGTTCGACTTCACTGCTTAGGCAATTCCATTATTTACAACTTAAATATATTTCATTTTTTAAAATCTCTGTAGTGCAAGATTTACGCTTTAACAAACATAAATGCTGTAAGAACACATTTTTATATTTAAAATTTGTATTAGTTTCAAAGCATAATTGCTAATGAGAAACAACTATGGTGTGGATACATAATGTAACAAGACCCATATTTTAATCATTACTATTCATCTCCTCTACATAATCCTTTATTAATGTTTAAAGTAATGGAAACATTGGTCGTTTTTGAGATTTAATCTCTTCTTTTTGTACCAGGTCACTAAATGCATTATGTAGCAATCATTAAGACGGCCCAAAGCGAGTAGATTGGTAGATTAAGCAATGGGCTCCAAATCATCCTCAAATTGATTGAGGGAAGGATAAGTGATGGTGGAATGAAAAATTGAAAGGAGTTAATTTTTTTTCCTCATAATGTGTAAAGTTTTGACCTGTTAAAAAACCCCATATTTTAAAATTAATATCTCTGAGAGCTATTTTCTTAAAGTGGTTGAGAAAACAGCTAATGTTTTAAATGTTGGCACTGACGAGCACCTATATAAGAAACTGGCAATAATATTTTATTCACTATACTTAAAAACAATGGGAAGAGATGCCCTTAGTCACCATTTTTTGCCCATTTAACAATCATCATTATATTATTGCTTTGTATCATTTTAATGTCTGTGATTTATCTCCCAAAGGATTAAAGTTATGGGCCATGCTTTATTAAATGTATAATTTACAGGATCAAATATACTACTTGGAATAAAGAGAAGTTTAACAATATTTGCTGAATCACTGGAAGAATTCAAATAGTCCTGTATAGCTGATTTGTTATTACTATTGTTGCTTCTTCTTATTAACCTGTTGTTCTCTCTAGCATATATATATGAGTATGTATCGTGGAGGGGAGAATGAAAAATATTATGATAATGTCACAATAGTCTCTTTAACAGTTTTGGCCAAACTTGTTCCCAAGAACATGTGATTCAGCAGGAAGCAGTGCTAGAGATAGTTTTTTTTTTTTTTTTTTTTTTTTTGTGTGTGTGTGTGTGTGTGTGTGTGTGAACACTCTCAAAGTCTAGAAAACACTCAATAATTCACAAGACCATAAGGCAATGTTATTACAAACAGAGCATACAAAATCAGAGTGACAGATTCCCATATCAATGGAAGCAGAGGAGAATTTTGATTTTTCAGAAACATCAAGGAGGAGTGAATTCAATAAGAATGGCTATAAAATTCAGGATCCATATGATAACTGAGGTTGGATCAGTGGGCAAGTTCAATTCGATACCTGAGAGTGATTTGCAGCCATTTGGGTTATCAGGTTGTATTTCATACCCATCTGTACAGAGACATTTGTAAGTCCCATATGTATTGATGCATTGCTGGCTACAGGGAAAGCCTGAAGAGCATTCATCAATGTCTACACATGTTTTGCCATCATCCTTCAGTTGGAATCCAGGCCAGCATTTGCACTGGGAAAAGAAAAATGAGCATAATCAATTCATATCATTGTCACTGTCTTTTACTATTGGATATCTCTTTAGCAGTAAGCAAGAAAAGCACTTGAAAATAGATAAAGGCAAGTCTTTCTGTCTCCCAGCATTTGACCTTTGATGGGAATTATGTATATTATGTAAAGTCAGTTAGAAAGCACTCTCTCAAACATCTTCATTTGATCTTTTGAAGTTGGCAAGATTGTAAAAGTTAATTGACATTGCTAAGGCCATGTGGTTAGAGATTGCCAAAGCCAAAAATAAGAGTGAAGCTTTCTACTTCTTTTTTTGTTTTTCTATTGCATTACATTGTCTTTTTAGAATATTTTAACAATTATAAGATTAATCCTTACATGGAGTTTTGAAAATTTTTAACATTGTCACATATGTTATTTCACTTGAGCAGTATAGAAATCTATAATGTAGATATTTTTAGGTTGGTACAAAAGTAACTGTGGTTTTTGCAATTACCTTTAATGGCAAAAATCACAATTACTTTTGCACCGATCTAATATTATCTTTAGTTGATGAGAAATACAAAAGCATGAAGACGGAGTTGTTTAGACAAGGCCAGTAGGAGATCTTGGACACACTGAAATTTTTAATACATAGTAATCCTCAATTAACATTTATTGACTTGTTTGATTCCATACCTAGATACGTAGGTGTCTGAATAAATAGTAATATTCATGTAGATTTTTTTATCTCAATAACTAAATCAATTTGTATCATCAAATCTTTCCTTCAGCATCTCTATGATGTTTTATTTGTCCTTCTGATGACACATGATATCAACTAACTGGTATGTCAACTCTTAGAGTACAAACATGATGACATGTGTATTCTTTGCCTTCCTAGAAAGGATGAGGTACTTTATTTATTTATTTATTTTATTATTTTATTATTTTTTTTTAAATTTTTTATTATTATACTTTAAGTTCTAGGGTACATGTGGATAACGTGCAGGTTTGTTACATATGTATACTTGTGTCATGTTGGCGTGCTGCACCCATCAACTCGTCAGGACCCATCAACTTGTCATTTACATCAGGTATAACTCCCAATGCAATCCTTCCCCCCTCCCCCCTCCCCATGATAGGCCCCGGTGTATGATGTTCCCCTTCCCGAGTCCAAGTGATCATACTTTAATTGATCATTGTCTTTCAGCTCTGTTCTCAGTCCCTGCCAAGTAGCATGTGAAAATTATTGTTATAGAAAATGAACCTATACTTGGCCAGATGATTATGGTCATACTAACCTTCATTAAGACTGATTAGTGGTCTTTGAACAAAGGAAATTGTAAGTATTGAGTAGGATGGTGAGTTAAGAAGGATTTCTGAGTTGTTAAAAGTAACTAGTACTCAAGAGCTCTCCACAGTAAATATTTCATAATCTGGATAAAATTGATCATTTATTCTCAGATAAAAGTGATGGCAGAGCTTTGAATTTATTGATAAAGATATTAGAATGATATATGCCCACATTAATAAATAATCAGGAAACAATTTATGAGCAGAATTATTTTTTAAGTACAAGAAACGTTTTCAATACTGTGGAGGAAAGCAACCGAGTAACATCAATTTCATCTGAAATTAATTAAAGGATAAATCAATATTTTCCCCAATTCTGTTTATAAGAAATGAAACTCTTTAAGCTCTTAGCACTTTCACCTTTAACAATTGACACCAACAATTTATCTAATAATGCTCAGAAATTATAGCGGACTTTTAAAATCTCTATAATCCACTTAGCAATCCAGTGGGTTAAAATGAAGGCAAAAGCCACGGCTTGATTTCCCAAACTCCCTTCATTATATCTCACTGAGTGACAATATTACTTTCCTTGAGATGATCCATCCTGCCACCAGGAGGAATTGGTACTTAACTATGGCCAAAGAAAATGGCATACTTAATGCCATTAACTCTATACATAAAAACATGGTTAAAATGAATTTCATATTATATATTTTTACTCTTTAAAAATAAATATTAAATAAAAAAAGAAAATGAGAAATTTGACAGGATAGTAATCCCAGATAGGCCTAAAAATTAAGCCAAGTGACTGTATACTCAAGAAGCCAGAGGTCCAATTAGTAGACACAGAGCAATGTTTAATCAAGAGTCACTTTAGGACAAATGAAAGGAAATTTTATAGAATGTGTTGAATTTCTCTAAAACATTATTATTAAATGGAACAAAGTGCATCACCATTTTAATGGGGTTTCTGAAAATCACTTTGAATGCCTCATGACAGGTTTATAGAAGTACTATATGAAACAGATGGCTTGGATAAGAACACACAGTGGAAAATTAATTTCTTGAAGGCAAAATTGATTAACTCTACTATAATATAAAATTGTATAAACAAAAGTTTAAGATTTACAGTAAATTTTTAAAATTTTTATTTTGTTTGAAATCACATTTATAAAAAGACAATTTATTTCTCAATCTGTTAACCTATTTTAATAAAAATATCTTTGGTCCTAATAATAGAAAGACATCTGTAGGCAATTCTACTAGATGAACTTTCATAAGTTGAACGAAAGAAAATAAGAATCTTTTGCATTTTCAAAGATATTTTATAGAATATAAGATTAGAATGTTCTCTTTCACTTAAAAAAGACAATTTTTATGAAAGTGAAAATTGTATGTATTCAGTCTCATCTTAATTTTTCTCACCATTCCAAATTATTTAGAATTTTCTGGAGTTAGATTAATCTTTATAAGAAAAATAGCTAGCAGAAAAAATAACTAAGCCTTTTCTATTTCTCTCAGGAAAATTTCTTTGCAGTTTCTCAAGTAACATGACAAATATTGATTATTTTATTTCTACTGTATACATCATAACTTTTTTCCCTCCCAGAAGTACATTTATTTTTACATGGTAAATTATCCTTTCTATCAAAATAAGATTTTTGCTTCAGTTAAATGTTATTACTCCCTTTTGAATAGTTAGATACATTGTATTTGTTTTACTGCAAACATGCAAATTGGCCACAGTCCATAAGGTCTAAATTTAACTTTTGTAAGCAATTTTCATTTCATTGCAGAATTTAGAGGATGATTTCTTGTCACGTTCTGCTTATGTTACAAGGAGAAGTAGGCTGCTGGATAGTTTTCCCCATTCTCTGAAACAGAGAAATCTATCAGCTCACATATTTTTGCAATGTGGTAGAAGCATCTTGTTGTACATAAACTTTTTACTCAGTTTGCCATCAACAAATTGTCATATATATGACATACATTTGTGTGTATAATATATGCATGCATATAAATATACATATACATAAATATAAACACAATATGTAAAATATTTGGTTTGAACCTTTGCTTAAATCTTATATTTATGATTCTGGTCTCATCTTGAATGTTTGTACAAGTCGTATTTCCATCAATAGATGTTTTATATTATTAACTAGCTTTTACATGTGTACATACTTAAAAACATCATAGCAATTCTGTCTGATAACATGCACACGCCTTGTGAAGTATTAAATACTTGTGTCTATTTTAACTTGAATTATCACTTCATTCTATAGTTTCTTGAGAAGACAAAAGGAAAACACTGGCATTTATAAAGTATTGATAAACAAGTATTTATGTATGAGGAATCTTTCAAGTTACTTAAAATAAGCATGGCTCAATATGTGTTTCTGGATGATATTGTCTGCTACCAAAAGCAATTTCCAAATATGGTATGGCTGTGTGCTAATACAGGCATTTACAATAACATCAAACCTTATTTTTAATGTCATGTCACAAAGTATGTAATTGATATTCTATACATTTTATAATTTATTACGAAGTTTGTTATCACAGACATTAAATACACATGGAATAAACACAAATAAATCTACTTTGAAATGTATCACATAGAACACACACACACAAACACACACACACACATAACACACACACAGCCATGCATCAGTTAATGACAGGGATACTTTCTGAGAAATACTCTGTTAGGTGATTTGTCATTGTGTGAACATCATAGAGTGTATTTGTACAAACCTATATGGTATAGGCCATCATGCACCTAGGATATATGGTAGAGCCTATTGTTCCTAGGTTACAAACATGTAGAGCATGTTACTGTACTGAATGCTGTAGGCAATTGTAACACAACGGTAAGTATTTATATATCTAAACATATTGCACCATATGTTTAGAAAACGTACAGTAAAAATATGGTATTATAATTCTACAGGACCACCAGTGTATAAGCAGCACATTGTTGACCAAAACATCATTATATGGTACATAACTGTATATATGATAGAACTAAACAATTATTTATAATGCTATGACTTAAAATTTTAATTAGTTACCTGCAGTAATTCTAAAACACATTCCCTGATGTATTCAGGAAAGATTTCTACGTTAATCGTACACAAGTCATCAATAACATTTATTTTCTGCTTCATTGGTCTTTAAAATATTTACTGCCAAAATTAATTATTTGATGCATGCTTATCTCATTAAAAGATGTACTGGCTCATTTGCTTTTTTTCTTTCTGACTGTAATATATTGTTTGTGAATGAGTTCATGTTCTCCTTTACAAGTTTAACCACTTCTACTTAATACAATACTGGGTCTAAAAAAATTTATATATATATTACTTTCTTGGTGTTTCAAGTTTTTATCTCTAATTTTTGCAGGGAGGAATTGATTGTTGTGGTTCTTAGGTTATGTCTATATACAGTAAAATCCTAACCAACCTAACCATGTAGCTAAGTTAATAATACCAGAAATTCAGAATTTAAAAACTGCAAATTGGTTGTTTAGTTGAATTTACTATTAGAACTGGCTTGTCATAGCATGCTAAAGCTGGCAGGAACAATGGCCCAACACCTTTGCCATACACAAATTCTCTACCATCCTTTAAAGAAGGTCATTTAGCCACTGCAGAAACACTTTCATTGGTGATGTGTGAGCTGGTTCATTCCAATAAGAAGTGTTCTAACATTAGAAACTTCTTCCTTGTATTGAACAGAATCTGCTTTCCAACTCTTAACTCTAATCTTTTAAGCAACCCAGATTAAGTATGTTCCCTGTTATACTACTTCATATACAGTTATGTGAATACAGCTAGTAAATTGTCTTTGCTCTAAGCAAAACTTCTTCTGAAGACGTGCTCCAGACTCTAATGCTTCTGGATACACAAATTTGGATACACTCCAATTCGTCATGGTTTCTCTTGATAAAATGCCATGTTCATACACGTGCACAGTACTCCCAGGCAGAGCTCGGCAGAATAAAATCTAACCTCTGTAATGGTCCTAATTTTCATTAGGCTGTCTCTGTTGCTTATAGTAGTTATGTCCTACTGAAGATTCATACAGAGTTGTTGCTCCGTTAAAAACACTAATTTTCAAAGGAATTGCTCTTAATGAGTTTTTCCCATACTTACAAAATTGATTTTAACCTAACACACAACTTTACATTTCAACATTGTGTTAGTTTTGTCCACCATCCCAACATGCTGAAACCAAGATGGTTTTAGAAGTTATTTCTGTCCATCGATTCTGTCAGCGAATCACTCTTTTCAGGGAAATGGTACTTACAAAATCTATTCGGATATTACATATGGTTTATTTTTAGTGTATTTACACTAAGTCCTAATAATTCATATCTTATGTTTTTTTTTCCTTTCTTGTTTGTATAAAAAATATTCTGTTCTCTAGTGTTGCAGTAAATGATTAGCCCATTCCACTTCGAAGACGTACTGGAGAGAGAATGAGGGAAGAAATGGAAACTTAAGAGTTAAATAGATATTTATACAGTTATTAACACAGCAGCATTGTCTCTGACCACTAGTTGCACCTGGCTTATTTATTTTCTTTATGCTTTGAATATGTTGAAAAATACTTTAATTTTATTTTTGTCTCCTTAACTATATTCTCACAACTTTCATGTCATGCTACTATTACGGTATCTTTATATAGATACTCTCCATTTAATTAGTTTTATTATGATGATGGCTTTTAACTTGTTCATTTACATTACATTAAATAGTTTTCTTGACCTCAAATTCTAACATATCACATGTTTTGCTACTTTTGATGAGTACCTACCTTATAACTGATTGGAAGGTCTTGACAGTCTTGAGAACATCCACTGACTTTCTTACTCAAACATTCATTTATATGGCAGTTTCTCTCATCTGAACCATCGCCACAGTCATCCTTATTGTTGCAAAGACCTCCACTGGGAATGCACCTGCCATTTTTGCACATAAAAAATGAACTGTTGCATGACTGTTCTGGAAGAAAAACAAACAAACAAATGGAACATAAAGGGCATGTCATTGTTTTATACTACAATTGTTGAAAACATTCACAAATATGATAAACATGTGTCAAAAATCATAATAAAGTATATATAAAATGCTTTACATATTCAGTATAATATTTTATAAAGTTCAGAAAACCAAGGTCAAACTACACTTTTATGTTCAACACTTATTGCAAATATAGCTTGACCATGAAAATTAATTATCAAAATAAACCTCCATAGTAAAATTAATGAACTATTTCTGCCTCCTCTATTTTGTGAAGAATGAGTTCAAAAGCATAATGATAGTCTGACAATTCCCTCAAGCCATAGGTCTCTGAGAAATTATATGTCACTAAAAATTAAGAATCTAGAATAGGTAGATATTCCTAAATTCTTTTCTTCCTAGAAATATAACATTGACATTTTGAAGTCAGGGTATAAAACAGACATCGGTGGTGAATAATAGGTGTTCCAAATATAGCTATGGAAAATAGCCGGATGACTTGAACAATACTCATCATCATACACGCTAAAAGAAAGCCTATTATCATGTAAAGTCCATGAGAAAAAAGTTATTGAATATATTCTATAATATATTATTACATATTTAGTATTTGGAATAGAGAAGCGATAAATAGACCAAGTTTTTAATATATGTATACTCAAATGATATGCAATTTGTTTCATTTTGCCTAATTATGAATAATACAGACAACTTCCCAGTAAATTTAAACTTTTTTGCATTTGAATTTTCAAATAGGCCAATACAGTGAAATTATTCTCATATAAACTCATATATTAAGATATAATGAATTTTTGGCAGTGGGGAAGACAGGATGGTGAATTCAGCAGTACCACTGCCTCAAATCTTTATATTTCTGACACAGACTTAAATTTCCAAAACTAGTTTCCCACATAGTCAATTACTAGTACCCTGCATAGTGTCACAAGATACATCACATGCTTAATAATTTGCATTTTCTTTCATTGAATACTATACTAGACAGAAAATAACAATTTTTCCACTGAAAACACTTCAGAATAAACCTGGTATTGTATCTATTTCTATACCTGCACTTTTACACTTTGGATTTAAAGGTGCTTCATCAGAATGGTCAGGACAGTCAAAGTCTCCATCACACTGCCATTGAGTATTTAGAAGACACCGCCCATCAGCACAACTAAATTCTTCTGTACCACACTGTCGGTATCCTAGAGACAGAGAAAAAACATTTGACTAATTCATATAACCAATACTAATTGAAATGTCATCTCCTCAATGCACACTACATCTGATTAATGTGGATTACCCTTGTCTCCTATGAGAAATGTTTCTCATTTCTTTCTGTAACAGTGGTTATAGTTGCAAGAGATATTTGTGGTTTGGAAGTAGAACTATGGTTCAAAAACTCAAGTTGGAAACAGACATTCTTATTATTTCAAGGTGAAGAAACAAGAAAGTGACCCTTGACTATACCATTTCTCTTCACCTATCATCTAGATCTTGATAATATCTCTTAGAATGGAAAATGAAAATGAAAGCTATTAGAATTAGCTTGGTTAGGTATAATACGAGAACATATGAGCTATAATTCTGAGCTATAATGATAATTCTCAGAAGCTCTGATATCATGTTTATGTTTAGAAAGCAGTATTCAATGTGTAAAAACATTGTTAAAATGAGAAAAATTTAAAAGTCAATTTTAGAGCAATAAGAACAAAAACTATTATAATTATCCTATATATCGCTTCTTAGGGTCATTAAAACCTTTATTCAAATTATAAAAAAAAATCATTTGCGAAAAGTTAATATCTATGTCTATTTGTAAGTACAACTTATTTGATTTTCAACATTGTTTTATAATGAATTTTTTCTAAGTTTGTCAACAATAAAAACAGTTATTCCTAGTAGAACTTTCTGATAAATCTGGGTAAATTCTCTGTTTTAAGTGGGAAGGGGTAAGATTTTTATGGCTTAAGAAATAAACACAATTCCAACAGAAAATATACTTAATAATGAGTATTTAATTTAAATTGTTTTCATATTGGAATGGTTAAACTAGATAGTTTAATAGCCTCAGCTTCCCTAGCATTTCTTCCCTCTCTCTCTTCCTTCACCAGCTCCTTCTTCTCATTTAATAAATACACTGAAGTCTTGTCCAGTCTAATAACAATAAAAATCTATCTATACACCTCTTACCAGCCCATTTCTCGTCTCTTTATTGCCCAATCTTGCTTCCACTTACTTGCCTGCAGTTCATCTCTAATCAATCAACATTTCATTTCTGTGACCTCTATCTTCTGAAATTCCTCTTAGAGATAACAAACACCAAGTGCCAAGTGTCAAATTCTGGATCTTGGCCTCCTATTTACTTTACCTTTTTGCAGCATTTTATGTTTCTGACCACACTATCTTAGAAAGAGTTTCCTGACTTAATGATATTCACAGTCTACCTTCCTTGGCTTCTTTACAACTTTGATCTTGCTGTTCCCTTATTTTCCTTCTGTATGAAGTCCTCTCCTGTTCCACTCTAAAATGTTGCCAGTGAAACCCTAACTTCAATGTTCGGTCTTTATTTTCATGCCACCTTTAGGCTGATGGACAGAAAGTTAATATTACTTGTCCTCGTTGTACTTCTGATCTAGAATTAAATTATCACACACTCACTATATAGCTTTATGTGATTGATTAACACCTCATATTAAAAATGTCCACAATAAAGTCTTTATTACATCTCACATCTTATCGACAAAATTAACCCTTAACCTCTTGTATCCCAACACTCATTAATAGCAGCAATCACCAAGTCATCCAAGCTAGAAATACCCTTTTATCCTCCATGTCCTACTGTAAATGAAGTCTGACACATTCTGTACCTTCCACTCCACCATTCTCAACCTGGTTCAAAACCACGTCATTAATCATCAGAACTATCACAATAACCCCCTAACTAGTTTATTTCCCTCTATGACTCCTTTGCTCCGTGGCAGTATTTCTCCCACTCTGGTGAAAAAATGTGGTTCTAAAACAAAAATGTGACTGTAACATTTCATTCTCTTGTGTCAAAATGTGCAATGGCCTCTGAGAGACAAAATAATTAAATACAAATTCTCTGACACTGTATTTCAGCCTTTTTCAAATCTAACTTCAACTTTTTAAACTTCCACTTAATTAACAGAAGACTAATTGCTATTCCTCACCCATCTCAATTTTCAGTCTTTGTAAACACATATAGAATTTACTGTTCCTGAAACTGCTCTAAGAACTTTAAAAATATAAATTTATTTAATTCTCTGAACAGTCCTAACATTTAAGCCTTGTTATTAAGCACATTTTACAGATGGAAAACTGAGGCCCAGGGAAGTGAAATGACCTTTTCAAGGTCACATAGCTGTTAAGTGGAAGATCCAGGACTTGAACCCAGGCTCTCCAGCTCTGGGGTTCATGCTATTAACCACCACACCATGCTCTCTAGCATTACATAGGATTTCCTCTTACTAACATTCCCTGCTTCTATTCTTTAGTGCCTCCCTCAAGAACTATTCTTCTCGGCTCTGATCTCATTGTGATTCTCATTTCTATTTGACATAGTATGTTATTGTACTACATTGAATTTCTGTTTTTTCCATTTGTCTGTGACTTTTCCAAGTGGGGCTTCTCTGTCTCATTCATCTCTGTATCAACCAAATATAATGTCTAGCAGAGGGGAGGTATTCAATCGGATATAACTCTGCTTCAGATTTATGTCTTGTGCTATGATCTAGCCTTAAAAATATCACATCAAATGTATGACTTCATGCTGAAATAATCATAAAAACTGATACCCACTAATTTCAGTGAGGTTCATATCAAAGGCCAAGGCTATAGACACTGCACAGGGAGGACAAAGGAAGGCACTAAATCTGTTGCCTTCTCTGAGCATATATAAAGTTCACAGCTTTTCATTGCATACATTTGTTCATGTCTACGCATTCAAATATTTTACAAAAACATTACGTTCACATTAGAGTTCAACTTCAACAGAGCATTTTTAATATATTGATGTTATCATTAAAGTTATATGTTGTATAGATATTATATATAACATGTAGAAAAATATATGTAAAGGCAATATACATTTCATGATAATATTACATTTTATCAAATCATTGAATACATCAAAAGATAAATAGAAAATATTAAGTATCTGGTTTTTCTGATAATTCTGAATTATATTCTTTTTTTACTCAAATATTTAATTTGGCTATACAACTGAACAAGCCGGCGATATACTGTCTTCAGATTTCAAGTATTTCAAAATATATTAAACTAAAGATTTTTTTTTAATGTATTTATTTTGAGATGGAGTCTCACTCTGTCACCCAGGCTGGAGTGCAGTGGCATAATCTCAGCTCACTGTGACCTCCACTTCCTGGGTACAAGCAATTCTCCTGCCTCAGCCTCCGGAGTAGCTGGGACTACAGGCTAGTGCCACCATGCCGAACTAATTTTTGTATTTTTGGTAGAGATGGGGTTTCACCATGTTGGCCAGGCTGGTCTCAAACTCCTGACCTCAGGTGATCCACCTGCCTCAGCCTTCCAAAGTGCTAGGACTACATGCATGAGGCACCACACCCGGCCCAAAGACATTTTTATAAACATTTTCCAATATACTGATGCAAATATACTGCAAACAGGTATGATTTCCAAATAAATGCTAGAACTTAAATAAGTTATAGGTGCTGTGATTTTGTATTACTGAATTCACTGGCTCTTGATGACACTAAGAAATGTGTTTGTTTGTTGCTTTAGTTATTTATTTACATGCTACTTTTGAAAGACTCTTAGCCTAGGAATCTCCTTCATGAAGTTTTAGATGTACTTACCACACTGTGGTGACTCATCAGAGCCATCTCCACAGTCGTCATCATGGTCACAAACAAATTGCTTGGGAATGCATACTTTATTATGGCACATGAAAGCATTTTCATCACATGTATTATTGGGAGCTAACAAAGACATCACAAAAAATAAAGTTAGATTAGCACATATTTTATCTTCTCCCATATTAGGAGCTTGGGGAATATGTAAAATCATGTCCAATAGCTCATAGTTACTGAGAAAAAGAAAACTTTGCATAATATTCAATACATCAGATGAGCTAATAATTGCATATGTATTTATATTAGAATATCTGAATATAAATACACATAATTTAAGGATTTAGTATTCATGAATTCAACTATTCCAGAGTGACCCTGAATTCAAGTCATGTAGCTATTTTAAATTTGGTGAAGGATGAATTCAAATGTTCATATGTTAGAAAAAATATCTCAGCTAATAATATTCTGGTTTTTTTTTTAACTTATGCCTACAGTAATGCTGGTAAAGTAATAACAATGTTGCTACCTTGTGAAAAATAGCCCTGCAAAGAACAATATTAATGTTCATAAAGGAAGTGTAAAGAAAACTGAGAAGGTTTAGAATGTTATTGTCTTTAAAAAAATAAAACTTTTTGATAACTTCCAGAGTGGGGTGTTGAATTAGATAAAGGTAAGATCTTTGATGTCATCAGTCTCACCATAAGTACCACACAAATGAAATGGAATATTTACCCTTTAGGAATATTGATGCATGAAAGCAATGTTCCAACAAGTGGGAAAAATGGTTGATCCAAGTGATCAATAAAATTTCAGCAAAAATTCAAAAGAACATAACTAGTGCAGAGAAAGAAAAAAAATAATACCACATGCATAGAATAATAAGAGGTTTGCAAGGCTCATTCAAATATTTTCAGTAATCTTTGCTTATATTTAAAAGGTAAATGCTATGCAGGACTCAAGGTTTGGGGTATTGCAAATAGCAATAATTTGCCATACGCTATTGTAGAATGCTGGAAAGAGAAAAGTTTTGCAGAAAGTGGCTGTGGCACTTATATTTGTATTCTTAAGGAAGCAATTTATCTTCTTGGTGCATTTGTTTCTTTATCTATTTAATAGGGATAAAAAATATATCTGATAAATTTCTTATAAGGAATAGATAACGTATGTGAAGCAGATTTGGCTCATTTTAAGTATTTAATAAATGTCTAGGTGCTCTCTAAACTCCTATTTATATAATAATTATTTTTGGCAGAGTCCTCAAAACAGTTCACTACAATATTGTGGGAATTCAATAATGCAAATAACAGCAACAATTACAATAATTGATATGTAACGCGGGTACTTGAAAAACTTAGGTGTCTTCCATTTCTCCATTCCATGTCTTAATAAGCACTTTTCTCCCCATGAAACACCTTTCTCCTTCTTTGTCCCTCAAGACTCAGATAATATCATCACTTTTTCTTGAAATCATTCCATGAGGCATTTTACATATTAGTAGGATATTTTACATAATATTTCTTTGTGATTGGAATAGTATATTTTATATACATCACTTTAACATTTAAGATACAGGTATTATCAATATTCTTTCCCATTGCCTGTAGCCCCCTCTCCCCAGACCGTCCCAGGCTCCATGAACCAATAAATCTCTCCCTTTATCTCAGAAATTATTGACATAGTGTAGGTAAAACATAAGGGTTTTTATAACGTAATCAGGCATAATTTACTTTTAATAAAGAGTTTTTTAAAGTTGTATAGAAGCCACAGAGAAGTAGCATGAACAACTGCCTCTTGTAATCAGAGTAAAATTCTGATTTTACTAACTCCTCTTAACTTTGAACTGTATGCCAGCTTGGATAACTCAGGTGAATTACACCAATTCCAATACATGAATTAATCTTTAAAACACTGAGCAACAGTGACTTATTTGGCATTAACACTTTCAGATCACTTGAGTACAATTTGCTGCATTTTAACATAATTTACTTAATAGTACCCATGTGGTCCAAAAGTGTTAATATGCCTCCCAGAGTGTTAACTTGCTACAATAGCAACAGCATACTGGGACCATCTGGATCCCTGAATTGAGGCATAATCCTTTATTATGTAGCACTCAGTGGCCCCATTGACCTTTACAGACACACATATCAGTTTCAAGATCAAAGTGAATTATTCTACAACAATAGTATGAGTTCTGGGCAAATAGGTCTGCCTCGAAGTTTTCTTTTTTCTTTTCTGCTTTAACTATTCCTCATGTACACGTGCACACACATGCACATGCGCACGCGTGCATACACACACACACACACACACACACACTCTCTCTTACATTATGGCTTCAAATACAAAAGATGTGAAGGCAGGCCATTGGAGAGATGACTGGCAGAATTCATTTTAACAAGTGGAGTTCGCAGCATTATTTCTGACAAGTTGCTCAGCCCAGCAGATCCCCTATGTGACCTTGTGATCTGCATTTAAATATGCAGTCCCTTCATCCTCCTGATCATGCAAAGGAATTCATCTAAAAGTTTACTGTTGAGTAATACCCTGAAAATTTCCTGAGGTGACTTAGAGTCAGAAACTTAGTAAATTGTCTGACCTCCGAAGGGGCTCTTCTGATCCCTCAGCTTCATTCGGCTATATCCATACTATTTTTACACAACCCAAGGGTTAATACCCTATCCTTAGGACTAATAGGTGTTTACTGACCTCCTGATCAGTAGTTATTTAGGATCAGAGAAGTCATTCCCAGAGATTCTATAATAGACAATCTAAAAGCCTTCAGTAGGGATGGTGGTGGACGACGCAAAAGAGAAAGTACCAAACCTACTGTACTCGTACACATAAAGTGCAGTTACATTAGCTGAGAAGTGAAATGATAAGTCTGTGTTTATCAAAATGGTTTTAAAATGGGTAATCTGACTGCGTATGTTTGAAACATTGAACAGTAGTTAAAGAGGTTGCAGAACTACTGTGATAACAACATCCCACCTGATTAAGTCCAGTACTACCTACGGGCCCAGGAATTGGGAAAGCAATGGGAAATGTGCTACGGCAAATACTACAAAAACAAACACCCAAGGATGCTGTAGCAGTTTTCTTTGACATGCAGCCCTGGCCAGTGTTCATACCGCAGCCTGCTGTGGAAAGCTCATCGCTTCCATTTGGACAGTCCCTTTCACCATCACAAAGCCAATGTCGGGGCACGCAGGCATGAGAGCCCTGGCAGCTGAACATGTCAGCAGCACAGGTTACAGCACCTGAAACGCAAAAACATAATGCCATTAAGACCACTGTGTGTCCACTGGAAAATGTCTACCATTTACATTTTCTGTAGTAAGGGGAGAGGCAGAAGAATGTTGCTTATAAAGAGGCGATCGTAGTTATTGGGAATCATTAAACATCATTCTTCCCGTGTAGTCGTCTACACATTTTTATCTAAGAAGGTATTATTTCCTAGCTATAGTGTTATATTTCTTAAAGCTACATGGCAGAAAATAATGTATTTTATCCTTGTAAAATGTGGCAAAGCATAGAAATATCATAGAATTGTGAATACACTGAGATAACATTTCTAAAAGACTGAAACTAGAAAAATAACAGTAATTGAAATAATGCTATTTTTATTGCTTAATATGTGCTAAGCACTTAACATATTAACTCATTTAATCCATACAATAAGCCCGACCCATAGAACTATTATTAGTATGTTTTCACAGAAAAGAAAACCAAGGCTCGGAGAAGTTGAAAAGCTTGCAGAAAGTCACAAGTTTCACATGATTCCCCATGCTGCACTGGGAGTCCAGAACCCGCTGAATCCTAAGCACCATCTTTTGACCACTCACGTCATTATTATTACTCTCCATCCTGTAGTACCAAAAGAATAAGTGTATACATATTCTATTTTTTCATGCATAATAATTGGAATCTACCTTTGCTCTATCATTGCAATGTTTCTTTATTTGCATGATAATGTCTTTCAAAAAAATGCTTGTTGATTTGGACTCTTAAGTACAAAAGGTTCCTCTTTCCTTCCATTTATGATCATAGGGTGGCCATATGTCAAATGACCCTCTCTCCTGATGTTTTCCTAGTCCCTGTGCAGTTATATACAATGAACGTTTTGAATGTTCTGTTTGTTTATAAAAGTACCTGAGTGAATCCTAAATCTCTCTTTTTAAAAAAATTGTACTTTCTTATGACCCAAAGTTATCCAGAATAGATGCTAAAAAAGAAACTTGTTGAATTGTTGAAAATAGAATATTATCTCCAGGAAGAAAATATAAGTAACTAGATGAAAAATATTTGTTTCTAACAATTGAAAGCAGTAGCCAATGTGTTTTAATTGGATTATCATTTATCCTCTTACTTTTCAGCCAGAGTTGTTAGGAGCAGAAAATTCTTTTTGAGGTAATGTTTTCAATACGGTAAGCAGTGGGGTATCACAATACAATCCTCGAGGAGTCTTTTGCAACATTAACATACCTGTTCTGGACATATACCTTACCTGAAGGAAAGGATGAAGTGTGAATGTTGACAAATCCCCCAGTAATCTAGATTTGCTTATTTAATTGAGGATCTATTTAATAGAACGGAGTTTAGCATGTTATATAATACTGGAAGAAGTTAGAAAATAATCTATTAAATAAAGGTACTTTCATTTAAAAATGATTTTGTTTGCTAACTAGTATGTCTTTAGTATTTTCAATAATAAATTCTCTTTCCACAGAAAATATTTTTATATTATTCCTCCTTATCTATCCTTTTTAAGCTTGTCGTGAAAACATAAAGTGTCCTTTTTACTATTATATTCTCAATTCAATGCTTTGTATAACATTTTTACTGTCAAGCTTGAGATTTTTGTAACTGCATTTTTTTCTCTTAAGGAAGTTTTGATAAATGTAAAATTTGTCTACTGCCATATTATCACTTTAATTTGTTCTCAAGGCAGTCTGATAGAAAGAGCCCTTATTTGGCAGTGGAGAAATCTAATTCTGTATGACCTTGGTGAAGACTAGCGCCTGAATTACCCTATCTTTAAAATGATGTGTATGACTGGATAATTACCAAGATACTCCAGCTATAAAATGGCATAAGGCTCTTTGTAGCTAATTTTCTGGCTCCCTTGATAGTATTCAACAGATTTTGTGTTAAGAACATGCCAAAACATCATAGTCAATTGGGAAGAAAATGGCCCAAAGAAAAAATTCATGACTTTATTTCATAGTTGCCACTGCCATCTGGAGACATATTGCCTTCCTCAGGGAAAAGAATCCCTAGGGAGAAGAAAGACATGTTGATAAATTCCACTAGATCCATCTTGCACGCCCACTCGGATAATATTTGATTGATAAGAGTCACTATCCTATTTAATATTTCGGAACCTGAATTCTGCTCATACCTCTGTCACACTTAATTATCTGAGTGACCTCAGGCAAATTTATTAATTTCTGTGAGTTTCTCTTTTTTCATCTCTCAAAAGATGGAAATAAACTAGACCATGGTTTTCAAAATGGACCCTCAATATTCCAGATCAGAATCACTCTATGCATATCAATAAAGAACGTGTTTACATCCTGTATCAGAATATTTTGAATTGGAAATGGGGAAACTACATTTTTAACACACTTCTGAGAAGGATCTTTTGCACCCCAAAGGTTGAAAACAAGTGAGATACATTATTTATAAAATTATTTTCCTGTTCTAAAATATGAGGTTCAGTTCATTGACAGATGATTGGTCTAAAGCAGTATTTTCTTTATGTGTCTCAAGCTTGGTAGTTAGTACATAAAATATAGCTCATAATTAAAGCAAATTAGCTCAGTATTTTGATTGCAGGTAAACATGTCCATTTTCTTATTAGTCTTTAATAAAAAAGCATTATTAGGACACTGACAATACTTTGACAAAGAAATGAGGCAGGAGAAATAAAATCAGAAAAACCTCATAAATATAGTGTGCATTGGTTATGTTAGATGATCATACTAGGTATATAGTTATATAGGGATAAATCTTTTTGTATCCAATTAATAGGTAAGGAATCATCAAAATAAGGAATGAAACGAAACGGTCTACGATTACACAGCTTGCAAATGCAGATGTGGGAGAACTCACCTCTACACGACTTTATAGAGATTTTTGCCCCTATAATATTGTGTCCATTCAGAAAGTGCAGTGTTATCAATGGGGTCATTTAGTGCAGAAGTTAACAAAAGTCAAAGGTAAGATAATTTTAGAGATTGAAACCGTGTTCATCCTATTGTAAGTAGGTAATTCTTTTATTAAAATTATTTTTAAAAATAATAGCAAAGAGAAACAGACTGTCAGACATCTAATTGGCTACTGACTTTTTTTCTTTCATAGCTTTTTGATAGTGATCTTTCTATTTGTCTGTGGCATAACTGTAGATTGTTTCAGCTGTGTAAGTAAAAAGTAGATTTTGAGTGACTTAAATACAAGAAAATAAATCGCCTGCTTTCAAGAATATCTCCAATTTCATATTGTTTACAAAGAACTTCAGTTTAGCTTGAATACTATAAAATACTACCTTTCTCCATGTTTGTGACAGAAATAGCAGTCCACAAACCCTGAAGTTTAAAAGAGGTGTTAAATACACTAAAATCTATACATACACCTTATTCTATGATTTGGGTCCTTCTCTTCCTAAAAGAGGATAGTAACAGCTGCCACCAAAGGCTGATGTAATGAGTAAAGAATATGTATCTACAGGTACGAATGTATACACAGAAATAGATTACATAGACAACCAAAAGACATCTACACAAATTAGTGAAATTCTTAGCCAGTTAGAAAAAAAAAAAAATTAAAGATTAGCTTGTTTCCTTCTTTTACCCCTTAGGAAACTCAGTGAATAATTCTATGTAACTATTTGTTAAATATTTGTGAATATTAAAAAGTAATTATACTGACCTTTATAGTAAATACAGATATTTGATACTAATACCTCTAATCCTATAAAGCTACATTTTAAAGTGTATTTTAATATCATATAAAATAGCCATCTTCCTTTACTTCTTATTTAAAACAATTCAGCAATAAGAATGACTATAACACACAACATATGCACATAAACAGCATGTGTGGGTGGTGGCAGTATAAATTAGTATACTAATTTTGGAGGCTAACAGTGGTATATAGGATGCATCATTAAAAAAATTGTTTGATTATTTGACCCTGTAATCACAGTCTTTGATATTTGCTTCAAAGAAGTCACTGAAAACTACACATAAAGTGTACAAATACATTTATTGTGGTAATATTAAGGAAAAACACCGAATATTGAATAACAGCTTTATGTATAAAAAATAATAGAATAATGGATTGTCATGAAAATAATAAAAACAGCTACCTAGAAGTGTACATATAAATTGTATGTTAATTTTAATAAATTAGCAAATTTTGTGCATGCTCTAAAATTATAGAGCATATATAATGCTTAAAAACTGATTGAGGACAAAAAATAGACAACTCACCACAAATGCTATCACTTTCATCTAATCCATCCCCACAATCATCCTCTCCATCACAAATCCAATGCTTAGAAATACATTTTTGTGCAGAACAAGCAAACTGGTTCCAAGAGCAGGAAGAATCTAGAAAACAAACAAAAGGAAAAACTAATTAGGTTGAGACCATCTTACAACAGATCCGACAATGAGAAGATTCATTCTTAGACTCTGCTAAAATCAACCATCCTATAATAAAAGAAGCCAAAGTCTTCTTCTCTATGATAATTTTAAGAAATTTTGGCATCAGCTTGCATATTTCCCCTGTGTTTCCAGTTTATACAACCATTATTTCTTCAACGTGATTCTTACAAGGCTTGCCTTTGAGGTAGTCTTAATACTGGTCACTCTACTCCAGGTATATTTGTCTGTTTTCTTTTCTTTTTTTTTTTTTTTTTTAATGTGTGATGAACATATATAAAATAAATATTTCTGGTGTAGTCTAGTCATACTTTTAAAATTTAAATCTATATTTGAGCCAAGAGAAAAAACTTATATCCTAAGTTAGGTAATAATATGGTGGACTGACCAGTAGATAGGTTTGTTTTTAAAAGTGGGTGACTAAGGAGGTTATAGCTTGAAGACAACCTGACAGTTTTGAATCCAGCAACTGTGCTGATGTTTTTGTGTTGCTTCCTTGGAAACACTTGAGTTTGTTATATCTGACTAATAACACCTAAATCAACTGGCATAGTTGCTGACATTTTTATTACTAGATTATGTTTTTATAATAACAACATACTCCATTTATTTCCAAAGCCAATTTTGTTATTGCTTTCCTCCATTCCCAGCCTCCCTTTTTACCCAGCATATTTATCACTATAAAATATTCAAAAGTAAAATCCTTCCAAATTAAGGTGTTCAAAATATAAACTCTTGTAAAAATAGCAATTTTGCTTTTGATTTCACAAACAGTTGCAAAACTTTGCATTTTCACTTAAAATGCTTAATTAGATGACCAGTAAAATAGAGAACATTAGAAAACTGAAGTTTGGAAAAAGTAAAATTACGATCATGTAATGGCCACTGTTCAGAAATTATGAATCCACATACGGTATTTTGGAAGTTCTCTGCTAGTCTTGTTCAAAATCTGGCTCTAATGTAAAGATATATAGCATCTTAATCAAACAAAATGCACCTTCACATTTCACGATGACATTTACTTTTAGGAGAGTTTGACATTTCACAGAAAATCTGTTTTTAATCTTTTTTCTACTCTATTCACCACAGTGTATGTTATTTGTGCTAAATGTAAATAGTGATATATTCCTTGCTTTCCTATTGGAGATTTCTTTGATTTGCAAATCACAAAATCCATACATTTTAGAAAATAAATTTAAAAATGCTTTCTTAGTTTGACAACATAACATGAAATAAAGTGTACACACACAGAAATTAGGAGGTAGAAGATGAAAGGCAAAAGTTTAAAGAAATAGAAGTTTATGTATATTATTGAAAGCCATACATGTAATCAGTAGAAAATTTCAGTATAATAATATTCAGTCAGCTCTCCACATATGTGTGTTAATATCCATGGATTCAACAAATCACAGATCAGAAGTATTTGAAAAAATAAAATTAAATAATAACAATACAAGAATAAAATATAATACAAATAAAAACAATACAATGAAACAACAATTAACACAGTGTTTACATTGCATTAGGCATTATAAGTAATCAAGAGGTTATTTAAAATGTACAGGAGGATGTGCATAGGTTATATGCAAATACTAAGCTGCTTTATATAAGGGACTTGAGCATCCATGGGTTTTAGTGTCCGTAGGGTGTTAGACCCAATTCCCCATGCAGATGCCAATAATAGGTGGGAGAAATATAACAAGTAGTGCGTGCCAAATCCTTAATTTATAGCAGAAAGCAAATATATTAGGTACAACCTAAAGGTAATAAATTAAGAAAAGGTATAACTTTATTACACCTGTATTATAAACTGATGGAAGTAATTATTCAACAAAAACACAGAAGGTTAAAAGAAAAGTCTAGGACCAAAGAGTGTTAGTCTTCATTATAAACTCTTTTAATTTTAATATTTACCATTTTTTATTATCTAATAAAAACGTAACTTAGTTAAAATCAGCTGACAATATTTTGGATAAAATCCCTATATAAGAGAATACTAACATGTAAGTAATAGTAAGGTTAACAAAACTAAAGCTAAATACAATGTCTCACCACAGTGGAATTCATCAAGTCCATCCTCACAATCTTGCTGACCATCGCATATCCAGGTAGTCAAAATGCATCTTCCACTAGGACAACTAAAATAATTTTCTTCACATTTGTGTTTGTTTTGAACTGTGATAAAATATAAAACGTAATGTCAAACAATTCAAATTAATTTTAGACTTCTGAAATATAAGTAGACAAAACATTAATACTCCCTGAACTGAAAGAGATAAATAATAAGTAAATTTTAAAAGAGCTAAGATGTTTTCCTAAAGAATGCCAAGGTTATGAAAATAAAGGAAAGACTGAGAAATCATCCCAGAACAGAAACCCAGGAGACATGATAATCAAATGCAATCCAGTATTGAGTCCTAGTACAGAAAAAGTATAGTAATGTAAAATCAGTTTAAATTATAACAGAGTAGCACTTAGTTAATAAACATAAAATAAAGCTAAAAAATATATACGACTTTAAATTGAGTGAGCTTAAGGCCAAGGAATAATATTTGGGTGAAAAATATTCTGAATTCCATGTTCATAGCACAAAATAATAATACATTGGTGTATCTTTGCTGGAAAAGTGTGAATTTAGTGTTTCTATGGCCCTCTATTTTGAGTATTTCTCAACAGTATTTAAACAATTATTCTGTATTTTAAGGAAGAATAAACGAGTTACACTGGCAAATCTAAAATTATTATACCTTTCAGAATTATCATAAAAAAGTAACTATATGTAAAATTATTTTTTTCTTTTGAGATGGAGTCCCACTCTGCCACCCATATTGAAGTACAGTGGCACAATCTTGACTCACTGCAAACTCTGTCTCCCAGGTTCAAGTGATTCCCCTGCCTCAGACTCCTGAGTAGCTGGGACTATAGGCACATGCCACCACTCTCAGCTAATTTTTGTATTTTTAGTAGAGACGAGGTTTTACCATATTGGTCAGGCTGGTCTTGAACTTCTGATCTCATGATCCACCCACCTTGGCCTCCCAAAGTGCTGGGATTACAGGTGTGAGCCACAGCACTCAGCCTATATTTATCTTTTAATTGGGTGTCATCTGTTCCATTGCTCCTTCAAGTTTTCATGATTTTAGACTGCTTGGTCTATAGCCAAGCAGGAAGTAAACCCTAGTGTATATATCCCAATCACACTACAATAGTCTATTATGACTATTTTAAGATAACAAAAATTGTATGCATTTTATTTTTTATATGTTGACTTTGTAGATAGAATTAAAGATGAAAATACATTTTTTGAGTGAATTCAGCATTAAGCCAAAACATTTTAGGATGCTTAGGATGTTTCCTGGATCTAACCTAAAGTATTTAGGCTGACCATTGCTGGCTTCCTGTCTGTCCACCTGCCTTATAAGCCTGCATGCATGTCCCTTTGCTTCTTACCCAATAAAAAATTTATGATTCTCAATTAGTGTTGAAAGTTAATTCTTAAGATAACTTATTAATACTAGAAAGAGATGGAGATCACAACAAAGAAAAATAAAATATTAGTTTAATTAATATCTATCATATGCTGACCTCAAGATAATTTCAAAATTAACTACAGTTATACTGAGGTAAAGAATGTGTTGTTGCAATCAGAAAATTAGATTAAGAATCTTGGCGCCAGTTTCGTTGAGCAGTGGTTTGTAGTTCTCCTTGAAGAGGTCCTTCATATCCCTTGTAAGTTGGATTCCTAGATATTTTATTCTCTTTCTAACAATTGTGAATGGGAGTTCACTCATGATTTGGCTGTTTGTCTATTATCTGTGTATAAGAATGCTTGTGATTTTTGAACACTGATTTGGTATCCTGAGACTTTGCTTGAAGTTGCTTATCAGCTTAAGGATATTTTGGGCTGAGACAATGAGATTTTCTAAATATACACTTACGTCATCTGCAAACAGGGACGATTTGACTTCCTCTTTTCCTAATTGAATACCCTTTATTTCTTTCTCTTGCCTGACTGCTCTGACCAGAAATAAAAGTGGACACAAACAAATGGAAGAACATTCCATGCTCATGCATAGGAAGAATAAATATTGTAAAAACGGCCACACTGCTCAAGGTAATTTATAGATCCAATGCCATCCCCAGCAAGCTACCAATGACTTTCTTCACAGAATTGGAAAAAACTACTTTAACGTCCATATGGAACTAAAAAAGAGTCCACATTGCCAAGACAATCCTAAGCAAAAAGAACAAAGCTGGAGACATCACGCTACCTGAATTCAAACTACACTAAAAGTTTACAATAACCAAAACAGCATGGTACTGTTACCAAAACAGAGATTTAGACCAATGGAACAGAACAGCGGCCTCAGAAATAACACTACACATCTACAACCATCGATCTTTGACAAACCTAACAAAAACAAGAAATGGGGAAAGGATTCTTTATTTAATAAAAGGTGCTGGGAAAATAGGCTAGCCATATGTAAAAAGCTGAAACTGGATCCCTTCCTTACACCTTATACAAAAATTAATTCAAGATGGATTAAAGACTTAAATGTTAGACCTAAAACCATAAAAACCCTAGAAGAAACCCTTGGCAGTACCACTCTGGACATAGGCATGGGCAAGGACTTCATGACTAAAACACCAAAAGCAATGGCAACAAAAGCCAAAATTGACAAATAGGATCTAATTAAACTAAAGAGCTTCTGCACAGCAAAAGAAACTACCATCAGAGTGAACAGGCAACCTACAGAATGGGAGAAAATTTTTGCAATCTACCTATTTGACACAGGTCTAATATCCAGAATCTTCAAAGAACTCAAACAAATTTACAAGAAAAAAATCAAACAACCCCATCAAAAAGTGGGCAAAGGATATGAATGGACACTTTTCAAAAGAAGACATGTCGACAGCCAACAGACACAGGAAAAAATGCTCATCCTCACTGGCCATCAGAGAAATTCAAATTAAAACCACAATGAGATACATACCATCTCACACTAGTAAGAATGGCAATCATTAAAAAGTCAGGAAACAGGTGCGGGAGAGGATGTGGAGAAATAGGAACACTTTCACACTGTTGGTAGGAGTGTAAACTAGTTCAACCATTGTGGAAGACAGTGTGGCGATTCCTCAAGGTTCTAGAATTTGAAATACAATTTGACCCAGTGATCCTATTACTGGGTATATACCCAAAGGATTATAAATCATGCTGCTATAAAGACACATGCACACATATATTTATTGCAGCACTATTCACAATAGCAAAAATTTGGAATCAACCCAAATGTCCATCAATGATAGACTGGATTAAGAAAATGTGGCACATACACACCATGGAATACTATGCAGCCACAGAAAAGGATGAATTCACGTCCTTTGTAGGGACATGGATAAAGCTGGAAACCATCATCCTGAGCAAACTATTGCAAGGACAGAAAACCAAACACCACATGTTCTCACTCATAGGTGGGAACTGAACAATGGGAACACTTGGACACAGGGTGGGGAACATCACACACTGGGGTCTGTCATGGAATTGGGGGGTGGGTGAAGTATAGCATTAGGAGAAATGCCTAATGTAGATGGCGAGCTGATGGGTGCAACACACCAAAATGACACATGTATGCATATGTAACAAACCTGCACATTGTGCACATGTACCCTAGAACTTAAAGTACAATTTTTTAAAAAAGGAAAAAGAAGGAAGAATCTTGGTGCCAGTTTCATGAGTCTAAAGTAATAAGTGTCTATATTTCTTATAAACCTTTTATATAATTAACTTTTTTTTATGTGAAAGACCTGCAGTGAGCTACAGTCAAATGCTCTAGAATTTAGAATATGGATAGCAAGAATACTCAACAAAACCCAAGAGAAGTTTGAAATCTAACACAAAGAAAACAGAAAAAAAAAAATAGGATTTGAAAGACAACTAGAGGTATTAAAAAAGAACTAGACAGAACTTTCGGAATTAAAAAAAATCACTACAGAAGTTCCAAATACAATTGAAAGCCTTAACAATAGACTAGATCAAGCAGAAGAAAGAATTCCAAAGCTGGGAGACTGGTCCTTCAAATTAATTTTTTTTCAAAAATAAAGAAAAATGGATTTTAGAAAATTAACAAAGCTTTTGAGAAATATAGGATCATGAAAAGTGATAAAATCTATGACCTATTGAGATTCATGAGAGAGAAGAGAAAGTATGCAACATAGAAAACATATTTGATGGTATAATTCATGAAAATATCCCCAATCTTGCTAGAGAAATCAACAGACAGATTCCAGATAGTCAGAGATCTCCCGCAAGATACTGAACAAGACAATCATCCCCAAGGCACAGCACATGGTCATTGGGCTGTCCAAAATCAACACAAAAGAAGTTTGAAGGCAGCTATGAAAATGGGACATATCACCTATAAAGTGAAACCTAGCAGACTAACAACCGACTTCTCAGAAGAAACCTTAATACCCAGAAGAGATTGGGGGCCTATGTTTAGCATTCTTAAGGAAAATAAATGCCAGTTAAGAATTTTATATTCCACCAAACTAACCTCCATAAATAAAGGAGAAATAAAGTCTTTCCCAGACAAGCAATTGTTAAAGGACTAGATCACCAGCAGATCAGTACTAGAAGAGAGCCTTAAGGGGGTTCTTTGAATGGAAATGAAAGAATGATACTACCATAAAAGAACACATAAGCACACAGCCCATGAACCCTATAAAGCAACTACACAAATGACACTAAAAATCACTAGCTAACAACACTACAACGAGAACAAAATCTCACATGTCAATATTAACCTTGAATGCAAATGGCCTTAAAAGAGATAAGAGTTGTAAACTGGATAAAAAAGCAAAACCTATCCTTCTGCCATCTTCAAGAGACCTATCTGACATGTAATGACACCCATAGGCTCAAAGAAAAGGGTGAAGAAAGATCTATTATGCAAATGGAAAACCAAAAAGAGCAGTATTTGCTATTCTTATATCAGATAAAACAGAGTCTAAAACAACAGTAGAAAAAAATAAAGAAGAACATCTAGATTCATAAAACTAGTACTTCTAGACCTACGAAACAACTTGATAGCCATACAATAATAGTAGCGGAATTCAATACACCAATGACATCATTAGGTCAATGGGGTAGAAAACTAACAAGCAAATTCTGACTGTAATTCAACACTTGACCAATTGGACCTAATAGACATCCACAGAACACTCCAGACGACCGTAGCATATACATTCTTCTCATCTGTACACAAAACATACTCTAAAGTTAACCATATGTGTGATCAAAAAACAAGTCTCATTAATTTTTAAAAAAATACAAAATTCTCAGGCCTCAGTGAAATAAAAATAGAAAAAATAGAAATCAATAACCAGAGGAATACTCAAAACCATACAACATAGAAATTAAAACTTGCTCTGAATGAATTTTGGGTAAACAATGAAATTAAAGCAGATGATAAATGATTATTTGAAATAAATGAAAGCAGAGACACAATACACCAAAACCTCTGAGATGTAGCAAAAGCAGTATTAAAAGGAAGGTTTACAGTACTAAATATCTACATCGAAAAAATAGAAAGAGCTCAAATAACAATCTGACTGCACCTAAAGGAACCAAAGAAAGCAAAAACTAATCCCAAAGTCAACAGAAGAGAAAAACTAAAATCAGAGCAGAACAAGTTAAAATGAGACTCCAAAAAACTATACAAGGATCAATGAAATGAAATGCTGGTTCTTTTGAAGGATAGACAAAGTTGATTGACCGCTTGCTAGATTAACACAAAAAAGAGAGAAGATTAAAATAATCACAATCAGAAATGACAAAGGCAACATAACAACTGATCCCACAAAATATCATTAGAAACTATTGTGAACACCTGTATGCATACATACTATAAAATCTAGAGAAAATGAATAAATTTCTGGAAAGGCATGATCTCCCAAAATTGAGCAAGGAAGACATGGAAAACATGAATAGATCAATTAGTTTTAAAACTGAATCAATAATTTAAAAATGTACAAATAAAAAAAAAAGCCCTAGAACAGATACATTCACAGCCAAGTTCTATCAGGTATACAAAGAAGAGCTGATACCAATCCTGCTGAAACTGTTCCAAATAATTAAGGAGGTGAGATTTCTCCTAACTCATTCTGTGAAATCAGGATCATCCTAATAACAAAATCTGACAAAGACCCAACAACCACCACAGGAAATCTACAGATCAATATCCCTAATGAACATAGGAACAAAACCCTTTTAACAAACTACTAGCAAACCAAATCCAGTGGCACATCAAAAATCGAATTCACAATGGGCAAGTAGGCTTTATTCCTGGGATTCCAGGTTGGTGCAACATACGCAAATCAATAAGTATGATTCACTACATAAACAGAATTAGGAACAAAACCCATATGATCATCTCAATAAACACAGAAAAAACATTCAATAAAATCCAATATCCCTTTCATGATAACAATGCTCGACAAACTAGTCATGGAAAGAACAATAAGAGCCATCTGTGACAAACCGAAAGCCAACCTCAAACTGAAGGTGCAAAAGCTGGAATCATTCTATCTGAGAACGGGAACAAGACAGGGATGCTCACTCTCACCACTGCTTTTCAACATAATGTAGGAAATATTAGCCAGAGTAATCAGGCTAGAGAAAGAAATAAAAGGCATGCAAATAGAAAAATAGGAAATCAAACTATTTCTCTTCACTGACATCATGAATGTACACCTAAACACTCTGCAAAAAAGGCCTCTAGATCTCATAATCAAGTTTAGCGAAGATGCAAAATCAATGTATAAAAATCAGTAGCATTACTATACAACAATAAAGTTCAAGCTGAGGGCTAAATGAAAAAACACAATCCCACCTACCATGTGCAAAAGAACAAAATTGGACTCCTATCTCTTATCATATACAAAAAGTAAGTCAAAGAAGTTTGAAGACTTAAATGTATGGTCTCAAGCTATAAAAATACTAGAAGAAATTCTAGGAAATGCTTTTCTGGACACAGTCCTAGGAAAAGAATTTATGACTAAGTCCTCAAAAGCAATTGCAACAAAAACAAAAATTGACAAGTGGGACTTCATTAAACTGAAGAGCTTCTGCACAACACCAAAAATACTATCAACAGAGTAAACAGGTACCCTGGGAGAAAATATTTTCCAACTATATATCTGGCAAAGAACAAATATCCAGAATCTATATGGAATTTAAATAAATCAATAAGAAATAAAAAACACAAATAACCCCATTAAAAAGGGGTCGAGTATAGAAACAGACACTTTTCAAAAGAAGACATAAAAGTGTCCAACAAACACATAAAAAAGTGCTCAACATCACTAATCATGAGAGAAATGCAAATCAAAACGATGAGATACCATCTCATAGTAGTCAGAATGCCTTTTGTTTAAAAAGTCAAAAAATAAGATGTTGGTAAGGTTGTGGAGAAAAAGAAACACTTACACACTGTTGATAGGAATGTAAATTAGTTCAACCCCTGTGAAAAGTAGTTTGGAGATTTCCCAAAAACTAAAAGTAGAACTATGATTTAACCCAATCTCATCACATACTCAAAGGAAAATAAAGATACATGCATTCATATGTTTATTGAAACACTACTCACAATAGCAAATATATTAAATCAGTGTAGATGTCCATCACTAGTGGACTTGATAAAGAATATATGGTACACATACACCATGGAATACTATACAGTCATAAAAAAGTGAAATCATGTCTTTTGCAGTAATATGAATGCAGCTCGAGAGCATTATCCTAAGTAAATCAATACAAAAACAGAAAACCAAATACCACATGTTCCCAGTTATAAGTGGGAGACAAACATTGAGTACACAACAAAGTAAAGATGGAACAATAGATACTGGGGACTCCAAAAAGGGAGAGGGAGGAAGGAGGCAAAGGGCTGAAAAATTTTCTATTGGGTACCCTGTTCACTAAATGGGTGACAGGATCCATACAAGCCCAAACCTCAGCATCATGCAATATACCCAAGTAATAAGCCTGCACATGCCCACTCTGACTGTAAAATAAAAATTTAAACAATTATATTTTATACATGATAAAAGAACCATCACAAATTTAGAAATAATAAATGTATCATCTACTAAAATATCAGATTTCCACAGTAGATTGTGTGTGCATAAACTTTTGTGCAAAATACTTATGAATATCATTTCTTAAAATAGCTTAAAAATTACTACATATCAACTAACCATGAAAAACATGGGTGTAGCAGCAGAGTGGAGACAGGCAAACAAGTATGAGACAAAATGTAATAATGTCCTACATAGAATCTCTACTTCCAGTTATACATAGTTCTTTATATATATATATATATTTTTTTTCATGTCCTCAAATAGAAAGAAACAGTCAAGAACTTTGCTGGAAGGCATTCTTCTAAGAACGTAGATGAGTTTTCAGGGCATATGTGTGTAAAGATTGGTAACAGTCAGATATAAATAAACCTGTCTTAACTTGATTCAACAATGATTATAACTATTACTCAAATTACTACACCAAAGGATTTTGTAAACTGCATTACAACATTGCTGTACAATAACACTGAGTAAAGCCAGTCATGAGAAACATTGTTTCTCTTCTTTTATGAAGTTATTTCTAGGTATGTAATAATTCTGTTGAAGAATTATAAATTACAGATTTGAAAGACTTAATCACCAATTCTGAAAGGATTAATAAACTAAACATTAAAAATTGATCCAAATTTAGGACAGTTTCTTATCATTTTTTAACTCACTTAAAAAGATCAAGTGGTATGTTTAGAACAGGTTAATTACATTTTAGTCTGTGTCATTTAAATTTTAATGTCAATAATTGATATTAAGAATGAAAATTAACAAATTTACTCTATACAACTAGGTAGCCTCAAAATCTCCATGGCAAAGCCCATGTTTTTCTAAAATCTAGTATTACCTGGGCACTTTAATTCATCTGAATAGTCTCCACAGTCATTAGACCCATCGCATATCCAGGTTGGCAGAACACACAGTGAAGTAGAATTACATCTTATGAACCCTGTAGTTTTCACTCCAAGTTTATAGAAATTTGTACAGTCTGTGTTATCTAGAAGAAGGTAAACAAAAAAATGAAAAAGTACCTCATTTGCAAAGATTATGAGCCTTCTATGTAGGTCACAGAGATGAGAAAAGTTAACTTCATTTGAGGAAATAGATATGTAATTATCCTACACAACAGGGGTTAATTACATACCAATTTTGGACAAAGTTCAGTAAAATCTCGCACAGTGTTCAATGCAATGCCAAAAGTGCCCAAGCATAAACAGATGAAAGGTAGCGGAATATCTTACTGCAATTCTTTTCATCTGAAGCATCTGCACAGTCTATGTTCTGGTTGCATCGTGCTGATCTTGGAATACAAGTCCCATCCGCACAGCGGAACTCAACTGTGGCACAGGTTGAAACTAGAGAAACAGGTACATAAACAAATGGAGAGACGGGACAGAATGACTCCTTGCTTTTACTTTTTGAACAATTCAATTATTTTGTATAATTTTGTTTGGTTTTGCTTTTGTAACTCTGAGAAGCCAAACCTGACCCCTGAACCCCACCTTCAAGTGTGGGTTAGATGCCTCTTATATGTCTTCCCCTAGCACACAATTCTTCTCTCTGTTGTGGTATTTAGCATATTGCATTTAGGCTGCCTGTTTAAGTCCCTGCAGTCTCACTAACTAAACGTAAGCTCCATGAGAGTAGGGACTATGCTGTGTTCCTATCACATTGTTGTGGTAATATCACCCTAGCACTGAGCCAAAAAAAAAAAAAAGAATGCTGGAGATTCTCTCTCTTTCCACCTTCAATATTCCAAGGTTATGAGAGTAGACAAATGCCTGATTAAATACCTACTGGGAAATCCCAACCTGGTTGCCAAGAAGGGAAGCATTTCTTGCCATAATAGAGTGAGATAGAGATAGAAACAGGAACAAAGAGATTGGCAGCGGGAACCACTGAGCACTGGCTTTGTTTCTCAGAGGGAAGAGTTTACCACTACTAGAAAGTCATCCATGCTATCTCATACTCTGTTACATGACCATTCATCATTAATATTTAATATAAGAAATAGGATGCCTCATGCCCAGGAACATATAAATGTGTCATTCCTTATTATTGTTGTTATAAAAGTCATCCAATTCTCTGCTCTACTTAAATGAAAATTAGATTCAATACGCTATTGTCATTATATACATTTTGTATAAAGTATCTTATTTTTAATCATATAGTCCTTTCTATGTTGCTTACCCATTCATAATCATATAATGGTTTCCAGTAAAATGCTGTAAATGGGTACATTACATGCTATGTATGTTAAATTAACTTAGGTGATATTTTTATTCCAAATTCAAATTTTTACAAGTTGATTACCTCGAAGGACAACCTGAAGGGCCCTTTGATTATGCCACTTTTACTAGTGTTGATATTTTAAAGTGCCTATTTAATTATAAATAGAAATTATATCAATCGTAAATGGTTAAAATGCTATTTTAAAATATGCAGATTTTACTCAAGGATGTGTATGTCATTTGTATTTCATAATGTACGGTTCTTATTATATTGAATTGTATCTCAAAATTGCATACTTATCTGTTTAAATGATGATTAGAATAAATGTTTTATTTACAATTTGCAATTATAATTGCTTCACTTTTTTATTAAAAATGATATCACAACATGTGAAACAGATAATACTCTTACAAGTAGAGATAAATGCATTGTTCCAAAACAGAACAAATTATTTTCTTTTATGTCCATAGGAGCAGAACCTCCTTTATATTCTTTTGTGTTACATTTCATATTCTATTTTTTCAATAGAAATAGTAAATGCAATATGTAATGTAGAATATAATCATGTCAATCATTTACATTTTGTTTTTGGCTTCACCATCTACTAGTAGTTTCTTATTAACTTTGTTCTAAAAGATAGCTTATAATCTCTTTTTAAAAGACATATCGCATTTCTCTGCTTAATAACATTTTAGGTAGTTACAAGATTCCTAAGTAAGCCTATAATAGTTCATCTCATAATGCACTAGAGTTTCTATCTACTTGAAGTTAGAGTTTTGGATGTCAGGAAGATGCTAATGGGGACACTTGTCACTCATTTCATGGTCACCATCTGCCTCCAATCTCCTATAGAGAATCCTCTGTCTGAGTGAGAAGTAGTGGCAGAGACAACGAAGAGGCAAATGTAGAGAATGGCATTTCAGACAGTCAAGAAAACTGGAAATTCAGGGGGATTTCACAGTAATAGGGTTTCAACAACCAGTACTGGAAGTTCTGAGGTAACAGAGAAAGTAAAGGATAACTTGGGAGAACAGTGGAAGGACACGTGGGACAAATGGAACACAGTCCTAGATTGAGTTCTGGAAACAAGAAAGAAATAGAGGACCTCAAACTACATGAAAAGAAACTTTAACTTTGAAGTTCAGAAGAGGGGTTAGAAAGTAGTAATTTTTTAAAAAAACTATATTAAAAAGCATAAGGAAATAGATAAAGGAGGAAGTTCACAGTATAGAACAAAGAATAGAAGACTTGCAGGATGTATTAATTTTTTTCTCCTATTTTCCAAAATAACAATAGGGCTAATGAATCCTTGGGAGGGGGGCAAGGATGGGCTATCAGAGTGTGTAAGATGTGCAAGTAAGAACAGACTGTCCCTTTGTACCTGATCCTGTCTCCACATGTTGCATTATTTGGTATAGGGTTGAGAACCACCAGAGAGTTAGATAGGGTGATGAAAGTTGTTTCAGAATTTTGTAAGCAATATGAGCAAGGTGATTGTGGGGATTAATATCTCCTGCATTAACGGGCAAGGAAGGAGGATCCTGTGAGGAAGAAAAAATCGGCAGAAATAGTAGGAACTTCTTTAGATAAGTAAACACATCTCGTGCCAAAACCTCTCTCTCACTGTTGCCTCAACTATATTTCTTCTTCACTTTGTTTTAGTCAGTTAAGTATTGGAATTTGTTTCATCTATACGGTGATTTTTGAGGAAGAAAGATACTGAAATCTCTAATTTGTCAGGTGAATATGAAAGTTTTCTGACAACATTTCCTCAGGCTAAGAGTCCTGATAAGGAGAGAAAATAAAATAATATGGCCCAAATAAAGATAAGCCGAGGGAGAGATACTACACTTTTCCCTCCAGGTAGTCCAAAAGAAAAAGTAAGCCTATGAAACATGAGTGAAAACACCCTACAGCCACAGCAGGAATAGCAATGAGGCACTACAAAGGAAGATCTGTCAGGGACTGTGGATCAAAAGTAGCAGCAAGAGAGAAAGTAAAACCATTCTCTCTAATATACTTTCTTAATTTTACTATTTCTTCCACTTTCTTTTTAGCATGTCAGCTAAAATATTTAATGAGATTTGAAAGATTTAAAAATCAATGGTTTTTCTGCGGTTCTTAGGATGTTTCTTATAAATAACTTAAGTCAATTCTCTCTTCCAACATCCCTTACCCAACCTGTAGCAAAGGGAAACTGAAAAGGGGGGCGGGGCGGGGAAGCATTAAGTTTGCTCTCCTATCTCCCTTTCATTTACTCTCAAACAACATCTTTTATTTAATTATTTAATTCACCCCTTAGGTTCTAAGGGTGCACAAATCCAGAAGGAATGCCAGTTTCTTCTCCAGCTATGTTTATCCTTTTCCTTTAGCTTGTTGTTTATGGAATTTTTCAAAGGTTTACTATAAACTTAGGAAAAAACAAATGCTAGTTTCCCCTCCTTTAAGGAGCATCAGAACTGCTGGCTCAGTCTACCTAAAACTCCTTCCGTGGCCCTAAGGAATTTCATGTACTTCCCAAAGGGAGCAGTTTGTACTCATCTCAACAGGGAAGAAAGCATATCGTGCACTCTCCCTGAATGTATTCACTCACCCTGCCACGCAACCAGAAGAGCAGCACAAAATGACACACTTACGAACAATGCCTCATCTCCGCACCTGCAGATGGCCTGATGTCTAAAGCTCTCAGTCATGAAAGGGCCTCTAGAAAGGGGCAGTAAATTTAAAAAATGATGAAGATTTGGCATGGTTTTTTCCCCCCAAAAGAGAAGAAGCCAAAAGCAATTCATTGCAACACCCTTTCTACTCTGTAAATAGACTCTCTGCTCTTGCAAAACTTTAAAAAAGTAACAATTACTACTGATATCTATATTCAGCAAACTATAGTAGTACTTCAGATAATTTACAGATGGCTCCACGATAGCCTCTTACCACAGTCTATCAAAATCTCCCTGTACATCCCGACTTCTAATTATATCACTTTATCTTTTATATTTTATTTTGATTAAAAAGTGATAGGTGATTTGCATGTCTGCATATATGTGCAAAACAGCACTGCATCTCTACATTGCACTGACAATAGAAAGAGAGAAGGGGCAACTGGAAGAAAGGGCTTGGAAAGAGACCTCTTTTCCATTCTCCCTGAACCCCTTATCTATGCCTTTTCCTTTATCATCTTTTATGTACTATAAGGGAGCTATTTGGTGGAAACACTTTTGCGTAATATAAGTCTTTATCAGACAGCCTGGCTTATGGGATATGGACCCAGGGAAGTCTTCCTTCTATAGCTTGAAAGGTACTCTACAATGACACTATGTTAATAAACTTAAAATGAGAGAAAAGTCAAAACTAAAAGATTCAATTAAGAGTAATCTTTCATCCAAATAGCTACCAATTGTTTATCCTAAAGGAGCTAGTCCATTGAATTAAATTCACTAGTTTCTATTAAGTAATAAAGTATATGCTTGTGTTTCCATGAGCAATTTTAGTTTCAAATGTCCTGCATTCAGCGTGACCAGCTTTAAGGCATAAGTTTTGCTTGTTTATTTTTAAGATATCCAACTGTTATAATTTTACCATAAAAGAAAAGTTAAAAGAGAAGCTTAATTCACGAAGGCACTGTTCTGTGCCCAAGAGTATAACTAAGATAGTTATAACACAGAAATCAAGAGTTTAGACTGAAAAGGAGGAAATATCTATTTAAGTTATTTTATTGTTATTCAGCAGCTGGTATTGATATCATTAGGCAGAATAAAATCTATTTATATTTTAGAAGACTTACTGCTTCAACCAGCCACATAAGAATATAATAAACACCTACCATATATGAGGTATTATATTTCATAAACCCAAACACACTAATTTACTTACCACTTTTGAAAATACACTTTCATTTCTGGAGAAAACCCATAGTAACGTATCATCTTCCCACAGTTTATTTTGATGAATCTTGCCTTAAAATCTATTTTCTGTATTTATTTCTCAGTTCCGGTACATTCTTTCTTGATTGCTTTACCTTTAACCTGGGTTAATGCCTATATTATATTTTCCTTTCCTGCTTACAAATAATTGACAGAACATATCTATTTCTAGGTCTTCTAATTTCTTTTCCACCTTTCTTCCAAATGCTAATTTATTTCCCTCCTCCTACTTCCAGTGTCTGACTATATTTTACCTTTTTAAATCTTCTTAAATCCTTTTTAAATTAAGTTAATAGGTAACTTAATTGGCAAATGCCATTAGCTCTTTCTAAGCTACAGTGTCAACCTTAGATGATAATCTATGCAAGTGTTTCCACAAAGTCACACTGTCTAAGATGGCAGAGTAACTTCCCAATGTTCCATACAGCTACAAAATAATTTGCACACATTCTGCCCTCTTCCTCAACTCTGCATAGCCCTGTCATCACAACTGTACTTCATACCTTTCTTTTACCATCAATCTTTTCTAAAAACAGTTTATATTAACTGTCTTTATTCCTTATCACCCATTTTCTGCCTTCACACTATGTGCTCTTGCTTTCCTCTACTATTCCACTGAAATGACACCCATGAATGTAATCAAGTGAGTGTCTACTATTTGCCAAATATGATGGATACCTCCAGTTCATACCTGCACTCTTGTCCTTTCTGTAGCACTTGAAAATGCTGAATGACCCTCCTTTCTTGAGATAATAATTTCTTAAGCACATCCTTCTATTAGTCCTGCAGGCTACTTCACTTTTCCGTATATAATTTGTTATTTCAATAAGTAATTTTGATGCACTCTACTCATGCAATCATTACTCCACACTTCCTCTCTGAGTTTTTCTCCTTAATGTGCCCCAAATCAATATTTCTGATAAACATCTATTACCTGAGTTCCAAATCTCTACCTATCTACATGCCTGTGAAATAGCTTCATTTACATGTCTTCAAGTGCTCCAACCTCAAAATGCAAATTGTCATCATTGTCTTATCCCCATTCCCACACAAACAAATCGTATTATTACAGGTTTCATTAACACAATCCTATTCTTTTCTTTCCTTTTTGAAATGTAAATTTGATTGTATTTGGCCTGCTTTAAACCTTCAGTGACTCTCTAGTGACTACAAGATAAAGTTTGAGTCACTTCTCATGGCACAAAATGCATCTTCATGCCCTGGCCCCTTCCTCTACCTTCTCTTTTGTTTGTTTGTTTGTTTGTTTGTTTTTGTTTTTTGGGGGGTGGGGGGATGGAGTCTCGCTCTATCACCAGGCTGGAGTGCAGTGGCGCAATCTCAGCTCACTGCAACCTCCACCTCCTGGGTTCAAGCGATTCTCCTGCGTCAGCCTCCTGAGTAGCTGGGACTACAGGCGACTGCCACCACGCCTAGCTAATTTTTGTATTTTTATTAGAGATGGGGTTTCACCATGTTGACCAGGATGGTCTCGATCTCTTGACCTCATGATCTGCCCACCTCGGCCTCCCAAAGTGCTAGGATTACAGACATGAGCCACTGTGCCTGGCCCCTTCTGTTTTTACCACTTTCTTATATGTAATCTGTCTGTGACTATATCAAATTACTTTCAGTTTCAATACTAGTCCTTCTACTTGGTATTCTCTTTTGTTTCCTTCATTCTACCTTATTTTTAGTTTAAGACTCAGCTTAAATTCAGTATAGCCTATGAAAGCTTTGAGGATACTTCAAAGCCAAAAACCAAAAAAAGACATATGGGTGTTCTTATGTGTGCAATCACAGATATATATCTTCATCTGTTTACATGGCTGTCTTACAGTTAGAATTTGATATTCTCGAGTGCAGGCACGCATCTCATGAATTTTGTGTCTCAAATCTTAATGCATTGCAGTCAATAAAATGTGTTCATTGAATGGAAAGGCTTTAAAGTGATAATGCTTTGGAAATATCTGTGGGGTCCAGATTTAAGAAGGCTTTCAATGTCAGACTAAAACTTATCATGTATTCTGCAAACATTGACATTCCATTAAAGGTTTCTTTATCAGTGCAATACACACACACACACACACACACACACACACACACACACACATGCCAGTGCTAATACAGCATTCACTATTGCCAAATACTGTTCTAAACTTATTTAATATTGTTATTCTTATTTAATTATTTTTCCTACCTAGCTGTTTGGGAAACTGAGACACAGAATAGTTAAGTGCAATATCCGAATTTAGACAGTAAGTGTTGAGGCAGCAGTTTGAACTCAGGTAATTTGGCTTCATCATCTATCCCAATAGTCACTTTGGGAAAATGTTAAACAGTATTAGCATGACTGATGACATCGGGATGAAATGGAAAAAGTATAAGCAGGGAAACCAGGTAAAGGGATACTCTGTTAACCCAGGCTTAAATTGGATTGAAATGGAAGCTATTTCAAAGAACTGGAAGATGTGTTGATGATTGGATATGTGAGAAGGAGAAATTAAGGAGAACACCAAAGTTTCCTGTACAGTGGTTAGGAAAATGTGATCGTGAGTAAAACAGAGAACTAAGGGATAAAGGGGAACATTTTTGGAGCAGAAAATTCAATATTACACATTCTGGTAGAAATGTCCAAATCCAGGAAGGTGGAACTGAAGAGGTGAGAAATTATAAGTGTTTTAAAGTGAGGAAACGAATAGAAAACAGAAATAGAGAATATAGTCAGAATTTTCAAGTAACTTTAGCAACTCCATTCCAACAGCATTTACCAAAATGTGATCCATAGATGTTACTAGGTGTTATATACCATAGAGCTCTCAGAAATGAATGTTGGAAAAGTTCAGGAAACACTTAGCACACCAATACTCCGCGACTGATGGAACAAGTATTTACCTTTACAATCTAATTCATCAGAGTTGTCTCCGCAGTCATTTTCTCCATCACATAACTTGCCATGAGGAATGCAGCGGCGATTATAGCAAGGTTTGAAGCCTCTTCGACAGCTTCTGTTTTCTTATAAATAAAAGTAGAAACTCATAACCAGAGATCATATAGAAATATTTGTACAAAATGAAAATCACAGATAATATTTCATTCATAATGACTGGATTATGGATCTATAAAACAAGTGCTGTGCAGTACAAAAGCTGTGGATTAGAATGTTTCTGTATTGTCAAAGAGTAGTTCATTCAGCAAGGGCCCTTTCCGACTTAGTGTTTTAACTTTAGTCATTCATGCCTGGAGATCTTTTCAAGTTATACCCATGTTATTGTTTCTGGCAATTCTGTCAAGTAGCACAGAAATAAATATATATCACGTATTCAATTCTGAAGCAATAAATATGTACCTCAAACATAACAAAAACACTCCAACATCCATTTCCTATATCCTTTGCATCTATCTGCAAGGATTTTATAACGAGGAGAAAAAGCAACAAAACATGTATTCCTGAATCAGTGTCTCATGGAGTCATCTAAATATCAACAAATTGCTCTTAAAAATTATCTTAAAATATCTACAGAATTCCCTGAGAAAGAATGACCTTCTGAGTTCTATTTACCATTACAAAGTTTTCTTGACATTCTCTGATTTGGGGCAGAAGCTACTACTTACAATAATTATAGCCGCCATGTATTAAACGTCAGCTTTGCCCCAGGCTCTGTACTGAGTATATGTAGATAAATACTTGCTGGTTTAATACTTTCAACTACTCATAAGAGCTAGCTATTTCATAGCAGAAAACTAAAACACAGAGAAGTGATTTATGTTACTTACCCTAGTCACACTAGGGTTTGTACACTAGGCTAGTTACACTAGCAGGTTTGGGAACAAAGATCTAACTTCAGGTGTGAGTCCAAAGCCCATACTCTACACCTGGCATTGGCAAACTATTACCCATAGGACAGATTTAGCCTGTGAGACTGTTTTCATATCGCTATTGGACTAAGAATAGTTTTAACATTTTTAAAGGATGATAAATAATAAACAACAGAGGATATGTGACAGAAAGCATATATGACCCACAAAACCTAACATATTTACCAGCTGAACCTTTACAGAAAATGCTTGCCAACTCCTACTCTACACGAGTATCATCTGACTTCCACAAAGATAAAAATAACATGAAATATAATCTCAAGTCAACTTATAGTAAATGCAAACCTGTGAGTTTATTACTTTTATACACTTTAATATTTTTATATCTTATAGAATATAGCCATTCATTAAAGCGAATATGTTATTTGAGATAAATTCTTTAAGATATTGGTTGCATATCAATTATGGACAAATTACATTAGACTCTCAGTTTAAATGATGGTGTGTTATCATGTAATGTAAAAGAGTGAGAAGACTGTCTGTGGAACTCACAGATCCTGTCTTTCCCTTGTTCTGACTTTTCTTTAATTATTCAGGTGTAATTATTACCAGATAATGAAATAGAGGAGAAAAGTAGACATAAAATGTAGCAATTTCAGATATAGACTCCTAAATTTTGCATAGCATATGAGCCCAATGCTATTGGATTTCCAGGATTAAAAATAAATCAGGACCATTTTTTAAAAATCTGGATCAAATATACAATGATTATCAATGATTATGCAAAGGCAGATTTCCAGGAAAAATATTGTTGCAATGAAGGGAAATCTCAGCTGCTTACTAGAGCATAAAAGTTAATCTCTACTCCTAAGGGAGGTTAGAGGTTGACTGTCACTAAGGGTTACCAAAAGCAGCATAGCTGGTGGAATTCTATGTTTGATGTGGACCGTGCCTAAGGAAATGAGCCTTTGTACCAAAGGACACTAGCTCCCATGCTAATCCTGGAGACAGAAATAGAACTGACAAGACTTTGATAACAACCCAACAATGTGCTATTGTCTGTTGGTGAAACTTTGCTTCAGAGTAAGCCTGTCCATATCCAAAAACCACTGATATTTCTGAGTTACATTTTAAGGAAAGTAAACCTAAAACCTATTGCTAGAGATGAATAAGTAGGGAGTTCAGAAGATTAGCTACTACTTTTAAAAATATTCATATTCTGGCTGGATGTGATGCTCAGACCTGTTATCCTAGCACTCTGTGAGGTTGAGGCAGGAGGATTGCTTGAGATCAGCAGTTTAAGACCAGTCTGGACAACACAATGAGACTCTGTCTCTTTAAATAAAATAAAATAAAATAAGATAAAATAAAATAAAATAAAAAAGTCTATTTTGTGGATATAAAACCATGAAGAAATTATTTAGTGAATATCATGGCTATAGAATAGGAGATAAAGTACCTCATTTTAACACAAGCAAAGCCACATCAATTGCCTTAGATCAACAGGTTAATGAGAAATATTAAAGAAATTATCCACATAAACCAAACAGAGACAAGCAAACCAAAAACTGTAAAAGAATCAGAAAACTTTATCTGAAATGAGCAAACCCATATTGGACACTTACCACAGTAGAGCAGTTTTTCATCTGATTTATCCTTACAGTGAGGAATGCCATCGCAGGTGAGCTGGTAGTCAATGCACTCACCATTTCCACATTCAAACTCTGAATAAATGTTGCAGGAGGAATTTTTAGCTGCAAGGAAAAAAAAAAAAAAAAGTCAATGCTTTTGTGCAATGACTAGTATTTTTTGACACCACTACAATTATTTTTCTTAATTTTAATTATAAAGATAAACTAAACTTTATCAAAATGTAAAATTAAAGAGCCATGGCTTATGACATTTCTTTATGAAATTAAGATCTTAAAAAATAATTTTCTGGCCAGGCACAGAGGCTCACGCCTGTAATCTCAGCACTTTTGGAGGCCGAGGTGGGCGGATCACGAGGTCAGAAGATTGAGACCATCCTGGATAACATGGTGAAACCCCATCTCTACCAAAAATACAAAAAATTAGCCGGGCGTGGTGACACATGCCTGCAGTCCCAGCTACATGGGAGGTTGAGGCAGGAGAATCGTTTGAACCTGGGAGGCCAAGGTTGCAGTGAATGGAGATCTCGCCACTGCACTCCAGCCTGGGCAACAGGGCAAGACTGTGTCTCAAAAGAGTAATAATTATTATTATTATTATTATTGTTTTTAAAAAGAGCCAGTTAAATGAGCTCTGTACATACTGAAAGTGTTTTTGTGTTTTCTTACTGGAATCTATTATGTATTTTTCAATATACTAATATTTTTCAGTGCATACAGTACCCATTGTGAATGTTCGATGTGAACCATCTCAGTCAAATGAATAGTCCCTACTTTTCCCCACTTTCTGGTCTTCCTAACTATCTTCTGCTTAAACCTCAGTAGCAAGTTATACTGTTCAGAAATATAAGAATTGTCAAAATAAGACCTTTGTCAGATCCATGTGTGGGAGGTTCCCAGGAGCAGACTCTTTCTTGCTGCCGTACATGAGCAGCACCTACTCCATAAAGTGTACAGGAATCAGTGGGATGAGGGGCAGGAGGATGATGGTGAGGTGGAAAGCATGTGCACCTGATGCTATGGACTCCAAATGACTGCTGTCAGAAAGTCTCATTTCTAAGCCTCAGAATTTTTATTAGAAATTAAGAGTTTGAATTTTTAGGTGATTTGCACTAATTTGTAAGTTAAGAGTCTGAAAGTACAAAAAGATCTTTTCTACAGTTAAGTTTCATCCTTACAATGGCAGTATGTGATTACTATTTTGAAGGGTTTCTGTTGAGGACAATGGACTTATTTTTAATCTTCAGTAATAGATTTACCAGCAGACTTTGGGATCCAATTTTTGGGATATACTGTCTGCTTGCATGTATGTACTCACCCTGTTGCTTGCTGAATAATTGTACATTTAAATACATTTGTATTATTTATGTTGGAGGTAAGCAGAATTCATTCATCTCTGCTAATGAAAGAATATAGCTTAATTTTATAATTTAGTATTAGTTTTTGAGCATTATTTCAGGAATATTCAATTAAACAGCCACTAATACTATTTGAACTTTCCAAGGTTTTATTTCTTTATTATTCCTAGAATTTAATTAATTTAGTAGAGGGTCTATTTATCTAAGGCTTTTTTTTTAAATTATGTCAATTTTTATTTAGATTCAGCAGGTACAGGTGCACGTTTGTTACAAGGGTTTACTACATGATACTGAGGTTTAAGATATGATTGATCCTGTCACCCAGGTACTGAGCATAGTACCAACAGTTAATTTTTTTTACCTTTGTCCACCCTCTTTCTCTCCTCACTCTAACAGACCCAAATGTCCATTGTTGCCATCTTAGTGCCTTTGGGGAAAAGACAAAAACTATTCAAAGATAAATAGGTTTTGTATATTATGCAAAAACAAATATTATATGAATACAATTCTTCTTCAGGTACGTTCATTTGATAAAATAATATTGAGTGCTTTCTGCTTCTTTCTGGAAACATCATGGTTCAGTTGCCCTTATTCTCCTGAACAGCAATTACTTCATCTAATTATATTTACTATATCTATTTCTTTTATGGATTACAATAAGATTAGCAATGTTGTATGCAAGGGGACTGCCTAATCTTCTTGTCAACAGTTATGACAACAAATGGTTTTCCCTCATTTGCCCTCAGTTAGGTGTTAGTACATGACCTTTCACCCCTTTAATGCTGCCATTAACATTCATGAACTGCTCTGGGTGAAATCACTTAGATGAGGACACAGATATGCTACAAACATTCTCATGTCCCTAAAGATGAATTTGACAAGGAGAAGCCAAGAGTTACTCTCTAATCTCTCCGCTGGACTACAGGATTTCAATATGAATGCACAATGGATGTCGTCTGCCTCTATAACAGATTGTGAGCTCTGAGGAATCCAATATCACTCTACAGTTCCATGTGAATACAATCGTGCTTGTTTAAAATGACAGTTTTCTTCCTGATTCATTTCCTCTCATCAATAGAGAGAAGCTTGGAAGGGACAGTTGTATTGAATGTATTATGCAGCAAGGACAGGCCTCCACTGTACAGAAATAAGCTTTGCCGTTGTGACTAAAGGCATTGCTTCACTACTAGCCTGCAGTGACCTGTGAAAGAAACATGAGTGATTCTAATGCATGTCTAACACTCCAGGCTTACAGATGGCATCAGATCCAGACCATTACAGCTGAAACCACAAAGGCAAACTGAAAGAATTTAAGCCATTGCCTGAGCAATTCAGAGAAGTGTTAAGTGACAAAGAAATATGGGAATTTGTGGCCCGAAATATGGAAATTGGCCATCTGTATTTAAAATTTTGACCAATTGCATCATTTTCTCATTTGCTTTGGCACAGTCTTAAATAAAACAACTTTTACTTTTTGTGCTAAGAGGTGCCTTTTTGGGTTGTAGTATCAACTTGCACAGTGAGAAAATATGTCTATGTTATTTTGTATATGGTGTAATAGTTTTCAAGCTAAAGAAAATTATGCCGAAGCACTTACATTGAAGAGCAGGAAAGAGATAAAATCCTTCCATTGGAAAGAGAGTAAAAAATGACTGAAGAGGAAGATGAAAAATACTTATTTTTATTATGTAGACATATCCAACTCTGTTAATTTTCTGCATGAAAAGATATGCACTGAGGATATATTTAATGGATGAGGAGAGAAAAAAATGTATCAAATTTGACACATCCTGAGAGTGATTTCACCAATTTCCAACAAGATTCTTCTCTCCCACCTTATATATATATTGTCTTAATGTTAAAAGGAAATTAACCTTTTTAAATTTTGCTTGCAAGCTTTTCATGGCAGTATTGAAACACTTGAACCTTGATTTATTTTGGAAACAGTTTTGGAAACTTAGCTGTTAATAAGTGTATATTGTAATGGTACTAATTAAAGATTGTAATGCCTTTGGGAGGTATAAACATCATGCAAGGCTGCAATGTTACACTCTTAATTAACAGTTTGGAAAAGATTACAAATAAGCTGCATGAGCCATTCTCTCTCATTTACATACTGTGATGGACTGTGAGTGGTTTTACTGCAAGGCTACTGATATACTGCCTGTATACCAGTTTATTTCAGCTTCAATTACTTTTGCTATTGATTGAATTCACAAAGTCACAACTGGAAGTTTTCAGATGACCATTGTGTGCAGATACTTCTCTACCTAGCCCCAATACTTTCTAGTGCACAACCAGGAGGGTAAAAACATATGTTACCACTTTGGTTATCATTATCTAGTACATAGTGTTATAACTAAGCAGAACAGCGAACTCAGTTTTCTTTAGAGCAGAGAGATAACATGACTAAGCTTCTAATATTGGAAGAGAGTATAACTTCATGAATACACAAACACAATTTCAGTTATGTGTGTGGAATTTGGAACAGATATGTCATATTACATTTCAATTCTCTTTACTTACTCACACATCTGTTGTCCTCTAGCAATATTCGGTCCCCTCTGCAGGAACAATTCACTCTCCCATTGGGAGTTAAAAGGCACAAATCATGGCAGCCTCCATTCAATAATGCACATGGAGAAAGTTCACCTACAATAAAGAGGTTGTATTGGTAACATTTTATATCGAATTTCTATTCTATGTTAGATATATATTAATAGTAAACTATTAGACTGCCTCAATCTCTCAATAATATGCCATTAAAAAGCAACATTCAGGACTTTTGAAAATCTAAGCACTCCTAAGGCTAAAGTACATTACAAAAGTATGTAACACTAATCAAATCTTTCTAATACATCTGATACCATGGCATCAAATGAACTAGTTCTGCTAGAAACCACATTGATACTGCAAACTGCAATTTTGTAAGCACTGCATTGACTAAAGAACTGTTAAGCCCAGATGCAAAGTTTATCTATCAAGCGTAATTTTCATGATTTGAAACAACTTGATTTGAAAATTCAAAGATATGAAGATTGAGAGAGAAATAAGATTTTTAGAAGAAATAATTAAAAATGAACTGCTCCTGTGATGGTAAATTATGCAATATAGAAGTTGCCTTGAATATTTCAGATAATTTCAATATTTTGAACAGTCAAATCTTGAACACTATTCCTAAGAACTATAAAAAAAACAAAATCAACCATCGTAGTAATAAAAAATAATATTTTTAAAAAGAAAAAACAAATCCAACTATTACTAGGAAACATATATACATTTTTAGAGATCAGAGATTATACAATGAGGAAGTACATTTGCTTTCTATTATAACTTACAGCTATTGGTGTCATTGGCAACAGCTATGATTCCCATTGGCTGATGTGGAATATCGGAACGAAGAATTTTTGTATCTCCTCCTGTGTACTTGTTGGACCGCAGGATAGCTCTTCTTCCCCAGTCTGACCAGAATATATAATTGTCATAAACAGCCAAGCTGAGGAAAGTTCCTGGGCCGGACTTAACTATCACCTGAAATAAATTAAAATACTGTATTTTTATGATGAATATATAGATATTTATATATCCACACCCATTTTTGCTTCAAAAATAAAAGATTTGGTTTAGTTGGATTTAATTAACATAAATCATCAGATAAAAATAAAATTTTACTAAATGAATTATGATATGCTTTATATTTAAAATGTTTTAGTCATTGTTAGTGCTTGCAATGTATTTACATAATATCCCAAGTATACTTTTATTTAACAATTCAATGTGTACAACAAGTGTATTGTTTGGTATTATAAACAAAAATCAACAAGCCAAAAATATTAGATGAAGATTATAAACATTTATTAACCTTTAGTAAGAAATCACCGGATATACAGTAGATACTCATCAAGTTCCCAGAACTACCTATGGAATATAAAGAACCATAAGATCTAGGTTCTTTCTTCAGGAAGTTCACCACATGAGTGACTAAACTAGTACATGTCTGAGAATAAAAGTTTAGAAGTAAAGACCATACTTTCACTCAGATCAGTATGGAGCAAAAGGGACTAGATTTATCTTTTCATCTAAAACAACCACACAACAGCAAAATATAGGAAACAACACTTTTGAAAACATTGCACATCAGGAAATGAAAGGCATTGATTTCTGGGTAATAGGAAATACTGGGTGCATCCCATGGCATCCACCATTTACCAGAGAGAGATTATAAGTAGCAGCACACACAGGACAAAAGCAGAGCCCAGATAATTCCATGAATAAAAGTTATGGGAAGAGAAAGTTATGGGAAAGTTATGGGTTGCTATATCTCACTGGGCAGAGGGTCAAGAGTAGAGAGTTCAGCAGAGGGAACTGTGAGTATCTGAAAAGAGTCATCCTGGAGCATTCAGTCAAGTACTGGTAAGTGCATGCATGTGTGCGAGCCAACTTCTCCAGGCTGGTGAAAGAACCACTGGAAAGGATGAGAGAGAAGAGTCCCCAAGTTCATATGGGTCCAGAAATCATGCCTGTTAACAACAACCAGATTCAAATATGTAATTCAAATTATAATTCATGAGACTCTGAGTACTCTTTAGGATCTGCCTGAGCAGTGGGGAATTGTTAATCTAGACTAAATAAACTTTGTTCTAGTCTTCTCTAACAAATCGTAGAAGCCAAGCCTGAAAGGAGCAAACTGTTTCAAACTAGCTTAACTGTCAATAATTTTTTATGAGAGTATAAAAATGTATACCAGCAAACTACTATGCAAGGAAAATGTAAAAAGGAAGAAAATCCTCAAATCAATGACTTCTGCTTCCACTTTAAGAAACTAGAAGAAAAGTAACTTAAACTCAAAGTAATAAAGAGAAGAAACTAAAGAAGGGAAATTTAACAAAATAGAAAACAGAAAAACAATAGAGCAAAATCAGTAAAACTAAAAACTGGGGTTTTATGTCAATAAAATGGCTAATACATCATAAAATTAGGTTTGTCCCAGGAATACAACTTGATTCAATATTAAAAAATCAATCAGCATAATTCACCATAATAGCTGACTAAAGAAGAAAACTCATATACATGTCCCAACACATGCAGAAAAACCACGATAAGATATGGCTTCTATTCTTGACAAAAAACTCAAAAACTAATAATAGAAATATAACGAGGCACAAAACAGGGGTGATCACTGTCACTACTTCTATTTAACATTATCCTGGAGTTTCTAACTAGTATAATAAGGCAAAAAAAATAAAAAATAAAAAGAATCTACATGGGAAAAGATAAGTCAAACTGTCTTCATTTGCAAGTGACTAAATCCTCTACGTAAAATATTTAACAGAATCTACAACAAATACTGCCAGAATGAATATATTAATTTAGTAAAATTGCAGGATACATGGCTGTTATTAAAAAGTAAATTGTATTTCTGTATACTAGCTATGAACAATTAGAAATCGAAATTAAAAAAACAGCTATTTACAATAGCCTCTACAAATATAAAATATTTAAATATAAAAACATATGTACAAGAATCTGAAAACTATAAAACATTGCTAAGAGAAATTAACAAAATCCTAAATAAAGAGATGTATAGAGAAGAAGAAGTATAATATATGTGTGCAATTTGTCATCTTTACAATCTTTAAGTGTATAATTCGGTGGTAATAAAAACATGTATATTCCTTTATTAACTTTTAAGTTCAGGGGTATATGTGCAGGTTTGTTATATAGGTAAGTTTGTATCACAGGGGTTCATTGTACAGACTGTTTCATCCCTCAGGGGTTAAGTTTAGTACCCATTCATTATTTTCATTATTTTTCCTGATCCTCTCGCTCCTCTCACCCTCTACCCTCCAATGGGTCCCAGTGTCTATTGTTCTCCTCTATATGTCCATGTGTTCCCATCATTTAGCTCCCAATTATAAGTGAGAACATGTGGTATTTGGTTTTCTGTTTCTGCATTAGTTTGCTACAGATAATGTCCTCCAGCTCCATCCATGTTTCTACAAAGGACAAGATCTTGTTATTTTTGGTGGTTGCATGGTATTCCATGGTATAAATGCAGCACATCTTCTTTATCCAGTGTACCATTGATGGGCATTTAGGTAGATTCCATGTCTTTGCTATTGTGAGTAGGGTTGTAATTAACATACATGTGCATGTATCTTTACAATAGAATGATTTACATTCCTTTGGGTATATACCCAGTAATGGGATTGCTGGGTCCAATGGTATCTCTATTTTGGTTGAAAACATTTTCCTTTTTCTCTACAACCTTGCCAGCATCTGTTATTTATTGACTTTTTAATAATAGCCATTCTGACTGGTGTGAAATGGTATCTTGTGGTTTTGATTTGCATTTCTCTAATTGCATTTCTCGATGTTGAGGTTTTTTGCATATTTTTTGGCTGCATGTATGCCTTCTTTTGAAAAGTGTCTGTCATTTGACAACATTTCCATGAGGTTTTTTTTTTTTTTTTTTTTTTGTAAATTTAAGTTTCTTAATAATGCTAGGTATTAGTCCTTTGTAAGACTCATAGTTTGCAAAAATGTTCTTCCATGCTGTAGGTGGTCTGTTAACTCTGCCAATAGTTTCTTTGGCTGTGCAGAGCTCTTTAGTTTAATTGTATTCGATTTGTCAATTTTTGCTTTTGTTGTAATTGCTTTTGGTGCCTTGTCACAAAATCTTTGCCTGTTCCTATGTCTAGAATGGTATTGCCTACCTTGTCTTCCAGGGTTTTTATAGTTTTGAGTTTTACATTTAATTCTTTAATGCATTTTGAATTAATTTTTGTGTATGGCTTAAGAAAGCGGTTCAGTTTCAATCTTCTGCATGTGGCTAGCTAGTTATCCCAGCACCATTTATTGAATAGAGTCCTTTCCCCTTTGCTTGTTTTTGTCAGCTTTGTTGAAGATCAGACAGTTGTAGGTATGCAGCCTTATTTCTGTAATCTCTAGTCTGTTGCATTGGTCTATATGCCAGTTTTTGTATGAGTACCATGCTCTTTGGTTACTGTAGCCCTGTAGTACAGTTTGAAGTCAGCTTGTGTGATTAGGATGCCTTGACTATTTGGGCATTTTCTGGTTTCGTATGAATTTTAAAACCATTTTTTTCTATCTCTGGGAAGAATTTCAATGGTAGTTTAATCAGAATAGTATTTAATCTATAAATTCCTTTGGGTGGTATCGCCATTTTAAAAATATTGTTTATTCATATCCATGAGCATGGAATGCTTTTACATTTGGTTGTGTCATCTCTGATTTCATTGAGCAGTGTTTTGTAGTATTCCTTGCAGAGATCTTTCTCATCACTGGTTAGTTGTATTATTAGGTATTTTGTGTGTGTGTGTGTGTGTGTGTGTGTGTGTGTGTTGCAATTGTGAGTGGACTGCATTTCTGATTTAGCTGTTTGTTTGGTTGTTGTTAGTGTATAGGAATCCTAGTAATTTGTGTACATTGATTTTGTATCCTGGGACTTTGCTGAAATTTTTTATCAGCTTAAGAAGCTTTTGGGCTGAGACTATGGTATTTTCTAGATATAGAATCATATTGTCTGCAAACAAAGATATTTTTATTTCCTCTCTCACTTGGATGCCCCTTATTTCTTTCTCTTGCCTGATTGCTCCGTCCAGGACTTCTAATACTATATTGAAAAGGGTTGGTAAGAGAGGGCATCCTTGTTGTACTAGTACATTCTTATGCTACTAACAAAGACTTACCTAAGACTGCGTAATTTATAAAGGAAAAAAAGTTTAATTGACCCACAGGTCAGCATGGCTGGGGAGGCCTCAGGAAACTTACAATAATGGCAGAAGGGGAAGCAAACATGTTGTTCACATGACAGCAGCAAGGAGAAGTGCAGAGGAAAGAAGGAGGAAAGCCCCTTATAAAACTATCAGATCTCATGATAATTCACTCACTCTCATGAGAGCAGCATGGAGGTAACCATCCTTATGACCCAAGTACCTCCCACAGGGTCCCTCCCATGACACATCGGGATTATGGGAACTACATTTTAAAATGAGATTTGGGTAGGGACACAGCCGAAACGTATCACTTGTCTTGTGCTGATTTTCAACAGGAATGCTTCCAGCTTTTGTCTATTCAATAAGATATTGGCTATGGATTCGTCATAGATGGCTTTTATTAGTTTAAGGTATGTTCCTTTAATACCTGGTTTATTGAGGTTTTGGGTGTTGAATTTTATCAAAAGCCTTTCCTGCATCTATTGAGATAGTCATGTGTTTTTTTGTCTTTTGTTCCATTTATATGATGAATCACCTTTATTGATTTGCATATATTGAACCAACCTTGCATCCTAAGGATAAAGCCTACTTGATCATAGGATAAGCTTTTTGATGTGCTGCTGGAATCAGTTTGCTAGTATTTTCTTGAGAACTTTTGTATCAATGTTCATCAAGGATATTGGCCTGAAGTTTTCTTTATTTGTTATGTCTCTACCAGGTTTTGGTATCAGGATGATGCTGGCCTCATATAATGAGTTGTTAAAGATTTCTTCCTCCTCAGTTTTTTGGAAT